CAGGAATGAAGATGTGTTAAAAAACAAACCCAGGAACACACTCATTTATCCCAAATCCACTCACACATACCCAGGAATTAACACATTTGTCCCCAGTCCATTCAAAACCAACCAGGAATGAACACGTTTCTCCCCAAACCCAAACCCTCCCAGAAATGAACAGATTTATCCCCAAATGGAATCAAACACTGCCAGGAATGAATAGATTTGTTCCAAATCCATTCAAACACTCCCAGAAATGAACATGTTTATCCTCAATCCATTCAAACACTCCCAGGAATGACCACATGAATCCAAAACCCAATCCAACATTCCCAGGAATGAACAGATTTATCCCAAATCCATTCAGACATTCCCAGGAACGACCACATTAATCCAAATTAAATCAAACACTCCCAGGAATGACCACATGAATCCCAAACTCAAACATTTCCAGAAATGAATGTGTTGGCTCCCAATCCATCCAAACATTCCCAGATTTATCCCTAAACTTTCCTAGGAATGACCATATGAATCCCAAATCCATTCAAATATTCCCAGGAATGAACAGATTTATCCCAAACCCAATCAAACATTCCCAGGAATGACCACATGAATCCCAAACCAAATCCAACATTCCCAAACCAAATCCAACATTCCCAGGAACAACCACGTTAATCCCAAATCCATTCAAACACTACCAGGAATGACCACATGAATCCCAAACCCAAACATGTCCAGAAATGAATGTGTTTGCTCCAAATCCATTCAAACTTTCTCAGATTTATCCCCAAATCCAAACATTCCTAGGAATGATCACATGAATCCCAAACCTACTCAAATATTTCCAGAAATGAACATGTTTCATTCAAACATTCCCAGGAACGATCACATGAATCCCAAACCCAAACATTTCCAGAAATGAATGTGCTTGCTCCAAATCCATCCAAACTTTCCTAGATTTACCCCCAAACCTTCCCAGTAATGACCACAACGATCCCAAAACTGCTGAGCGACGCCAACCAACCCAACCCTGCTGGGGTCAGTGCAGACCCTTCCCATTCCCAAGAATTTTGGGGCCCAAATCCACTCCTTTTACTCCCCTCCCTTTTACTCCCCCACCATTAAATTCCCTGTCAAACACGAGGCGGGTCCAGAAAAACCTGAATTTTCCAAGTGTGATCCCAACAAACTGAAGCTGCAGCAGAAATTCTGGAAGGACTCTCCCAGAACTGGCAGAGGGCACCTGAACCAAGGCAGGAACTCTGCCCAAGGAGGTGACAATGACATTTATTGTCACTCCAAGTGCCACAATTATCCCTCGTGGAAAATGACAGCACTGCCTGGCACGGGTCAAGCACACAGAGGGAAATGCAGGGTGAAAATTTGGGAAAAGCAGGAGGAGAAGGGAAGGGAAGAACAAAGATCCCTCAAAGATCCTCTCACTGCAGAACCCCCCCAGGAGCACCAGGGCCCTGCTCTTTCTGTCAAATAAACCTGATTCAGTGAATTTTGGGGACAAATAAAACCAGGAAATGAGGGGTTTTATTCTCTACTCCACACGAGGATGTTTGAACAGCAATTCCCACCCTGGATCTCTCCCTCACCACATCTCCATCCTCAGTGTCAGCAGCTCCAGAGCTGGAATTATGGAGCTGATTCTCTGTTTATAAACTGAATAATCTCCCCAGCCACAGGATATTCTATCCCCAAATCAGAGCACAAGGGTTTTCGTTCAGGGATGTTCATCCAATGTCCCCCCAAGCCTGTTTTGCTGAGAAAAAGGAACAAATTCTGTCCAAAAATCAAGTTCTGGGTGTGGAACTGCCCAGGCCTGTGACAGACACCACATCCCCCAACCCTGGAAATGCCATTTTTAAAGCCAAAAACAAATTATGGAGTTGGTTCAAACAGTGCAGGATGGTGCAAGACAGAGAGAAGAATTTCAGCCATCACCCAAAGCCAGACACTCAAACTGTACAGAAAGACACCCAAACTACAGATACAAACATCCAGACATCTAAATTGTACAGAAATAAACACTCACACGCTCAAACTGAACAGGAATAGACACCTAGACATCTGAATTGTACAGAAATAAACTCCCAGACACCCAAATTTAACAGGAACAGACACTCAAACACCCAAATTTAACAGGGGAAAAAACATCCAGACACTCACATTGAACAGGAACAGACACCCAACCATCCAAATCTCACAGAAACAGACACCCAAATACCTAAATTGTACAAAAATAAACACTCAGACACCCACCCACACTGAACAGGAACAGACACCCAGATGGAACAGGAACAAACAGCCAGATACACACAATTGCACAGAAACAGCCATGCAGACACTAAAATTGTACAGAAACAGATCCCAGACACTCAAATTGTACAGAAATAAACACCTAGACTTGCAAATTGTATAGAAATAAACACCCAGGCACTCAAATTGTACAAAAATAAACACCCAGGCACTCAAACTGTACAGAAATAAACACCCAGACACCCACAAAGTACAGGAACAGATACCCTGACACTCAAATTGGACAGAAACAAACATTCAGACACCTAAATTGTAAAGAAACGGACACCCAGAAACTGATATTTTAGAGTCAAACACCCATACTTAAGAGGAACACACCCACAGATACCCCAAAACCAACCAGACTCCCCAAATTCCACAGGAACAACCCCCCAACACCCAAATTACAAAGAGACTACCCCCAAACCCCAAATTTCAAAGAAACAAACCCCCCAAATCCAAATTTCACAGAAGCAAAAGGGTTCCCTCATTTCTCCCCCTCACATCTGATGTTCTCCCAACATTTCCCACCTGGAATTCAAACACATTTTGTCCATTTTGTGACCCCTCCTGCTCCACAATAAATCAGGAGTGAAGGTCAGGAGGGGTCTGTGAGACATTTTTCACATTTTTCCCATTGCCTGCACATTGTTTTTTTGATCCATTAATATCCCAAGAGCCACAGAGAACAGATCACACTGGAATTATTGGAACTGAAAGATTCCTGCCATGCTTTGCATGGATGGGGCTTGATTTGATCAACATCAATAATCCTTTTTAACCAAAAATCTCCTTTTTACTCTGTTACCACCCAGTCCTGCTGCCCTGAGCACAAACCACAAGTTTATCCTCATTTCAAACTCTCAGCACCAGCCTCAACCACACCAACTTGTCCAAATTCACCTGAAATTCCAAGAAATTAAAAGGAAAAACCAGCACAGGACCAGTCTAACACTTCCCACCTCCCAGGAAAAACTCCAATATTTTTTTCCTCAGCAGCACCTCCAGCTGATTTGCTTACAAATAAAAAAAACCAAACAGGAAGGGAGGGATGGCAGCTGGAAAAGGGAGGACTCAGAGGAATTGCTTCCTTTCCCCAGGTATTTCTCTGAGCTTAAATAAATATTTGAAAATAAAGGCACTGAATCCAAACTGGTTCTCCCCCTTCTCCATGACCCCCAATTTTCTCCCAACTCTCCAGACCCTCTGCAAAACCTGTTTTTTTCCCCCCCAGCTCCATCTTTTTCATGGATTAGCTCCTGTCACACCACATTTTCACTGGAATTCCACCCAGTTTGGCACCTGAACTTCTAAAAAGAACATTTTTGCTTTCTCCCTCTGCATTCTCCCCTCCCTCAACTGCATTTTCCTGGTTTTTTTCAGGTTCAGCCTCACTCCCCTGCTCCAACAAGGCCCAGATTTTAACAGAGCCAACAAAAGTAGAAAAGGAGATTTAAAAAAAGCAGAAAAGGAGATAAAAAGAAGAGTGAGGTTATCACCAGCTGGGGGAAACAGAGGGAAAACTCTGGGGAAAATTCCTGCAGGAAGGTCCTGTCAGGGCAATAAAGCAAATTGCTCAATATATCTACAGAGGACACTGAGAGCATTGAAACCCCACAGGGACTGGGCAGAACTCCCATTTCCACCCCAAAATGTGATCCTGAGTCACCACAGAGAGCAGAATATCCCAAACCTGCTGAGAATGGGGCAACAAATGTAAAACTGAGGCCCAGCAGGAGGGAGCCTGGAGAGGGTCGGATCATGAGGGAAAAAATGAGGGGGTAAAAAGAGAATTCAGGTTTAAGTTGTGAATTTGGCCGTGTCCTGTCTGTGCTGGCCACCAAGGACTTGATTTTCCCTCAGGGCAGGGCAGAGAGAGCACTGAAGAGCCCAAATCTCTCTCTACAAAGAGAATTCAAGTTTAAATCTGGAATTTGCTGGGTCCTTTCTGTGTCAAGGCCACCAAGGACTGATTTTCCCTCAGAGCAGGGCAGCACAGCCCAAATCTCTCTTTGCAAACAGAATCCATGTTTAAATTGTCAATTTGGCCGGGTCTTGTCTGTGCTGGCCACCAAGGATTTGATTTTCCCTCTGGGAAGGGAAGGGAGAGCCCAGCACAGCCCAAATCTCTCTTTGCAAAGAGAATCCAGGTTTAAATCTGGAATTTGCTGGGTCCTGTCCACCAAGGGCTGATTTTTCCCTCAGGACAAGGCAGAGAGAGCCCACCACAGCCCAAATCCATCTCTACAAAGAGACCCCAGGTTTAAATTGTGAATTTGGCCATGTCCTGTCTGTGCTGGCCACCAAGGACTTCATTTTCTCTCAGGGCAGGGAGAACCCAGCACAGCCCAAATCAATCTCTACAAACAGAATCCAGGTTTAAATTGTGAATTTGCTGGGTCCTCTCCACCTGGGGCTGATTTTTCCCTCAGGACAAGGCAGGGAGAACCAAACACAGCCCAAATCCATCTCTACAAAGAGACTCCACGTTTAAATGTGGAACTTGGCCATGCCCTGTCTGTGCTACCACCAAGGGCTGATTTTTTTCCCTCAGGACAAGGCAGGGGGAGCCCAGCACAGCCCAAATCTCCCCTGCCCTGCCCAGTGAAGACCCCAAACCTGTCCCCAAGCTGGCTGAAGGTGCCACGGGGCAGGCGCCACCACCTCGGTGTCCCCTCAGAGGGCACCCAGGGCACTGCTGACCCACTTACAAACACACACAGGTTTCTGAGCAGACCACTGGCTGCTCTTTTGGCAGGTGATGCTTTTGTGGCCCTTGAGCTCGAAGGCGGGCTGGCACTGGAAGTGCAGGGTGTCGCCGTGGCGGAAGCGGGAGCCCTCGCGGCGGCCGAAGGCGGGGACGCCGGGGTCCCCACAGCTGCCCTGGTCAATCTCTGCAACGAAAAACAACACGGGGTTGGGTGAGGGAAGGGGCTGGGAGAGAGAAAACAGAGAATTTGGGTGTGGGGAAGGGGTTGGAAGACAGAAAACAGGAATTTGGGTGTGGGGAAGAGGGTGGAAGAGAAAGAACACAGGGTCAGGGTGTTGGAAGAGGGAACAGAGAATCTGGGTGCAGGAAAGGGGCTGGAAGAGAGAAAACAGGATTTGAGTGTGGGAAGGGGTTGGAAGAAAGAATTTGGGTGTGAGGAAAGGGCTGGAAGAGAGAGAACACAAAATTTGGGTGTGGAGAAGAGGCTGGAAGAGAGAACATAGGATTGGGGTGTGGGAAGGGGCTGGAAGAGAGAAAACACAGGGTTTGGGTGTGGGGAAGGAGTTGGAAGAGAGAAAACAGAATCTGGGTGTGGGAAGGGGCTGGAAGAGAGAATTTGGGTGTGGGGAAGGGGCTGAGGCCCAGCTGGTGAAGCCCCCACAGGTTGTGGCATCCCAACCCCGATTCTCTCCTAAACCCCATTCCCATTCACACAGAGTTAATCCCTCTCTGATTTGGACTCCAAATAAACCCCAGGCACAATTTCCTGTTACCTCCTGCTCCCCTCAATCCCATTTCCAAAAGGCTCCCTGCCCTGGATCATTATTAGCTCCAAAAACTTCATTCCTTCATTCCTCCTTAGTGTTCCCACATTATTTATCTGCTCCACTCTCCTTTCCACTCCCAATCCTTTGTATTTATCCCCAAAAACTTCATTCTTTCTGAGTATTTCCACATTATTTATCTGCTGCTCAATCCTCTCCCAGTCCTCTTGGTTTTTAGCTCCAAAAACTTCATTCCTTCATTCCTCTTTAGTGTCCCCACATTATTTACCTGCTCCACTCTCCTTTCCACTCCCAATCCTTTGGATATATCCCCAAAAATTTCATTCCTCCTGAGTGTTCCCACATTGTTTATCTGCCCCACACTCCTTTGCCAATCCTCTGGTTTTTAGCCCCAAAAACTTCATTCTTTCATTCTTCCTTAGTGTTCCCACATTATTTATCTGCTCCACACTCCTCTGGTTTTTATCCCCATCATCTCTGATCAGTCTCGCTGTCTTTTTCCTCCCCGTTTCCAATTTCTTGCACCAAATTGGAAATTTCTTTTCTGACACTTCCTTTACAGAGGCAAACCACGGGAGCTGAGATTTGCATGACTCCCTCTAATATCCCAATTTGGCTGGAATAACAACAAGCACCCTCATTATTATTCTGGCTCCAGGCAACTCCACATCCAGGTGTATTTTGAGCAGAAGTCACGGAGCTTCTGCTGCATCTCGAGCTGAAAACTCACTGCTAGCTAATGAAGCATCCCCAAAATAATTTAACATAAATTAATATTAAAAGTTTTCATGAAACAGGCTGAGGTTTTTTTGCCTCTCAGTGAAAGCACATTGCCAGGATTTACAGATCTTCCTGCACACTTTCCAAATCCGACTGTTTAGGAGCTGCACTTGCACATTAGGGATGGAAAATGAAAATTTTGGGTGTTAAAGCTGCACTGAACTGTTCATTCCTCCCCTCAAAAAACGCACAAGGCCAACAGTGCTTAGCATGAAATGAAAATTCAGCTGGAAAACTCAAGGAATAGCAACGAGCTGGGATGGGAGGGAGTGGATGTGGAACATTTATCAGCGTGTCTGATGGGGACCTGGGGGCTGGGGATGCTCCCTGCTGCCACTCAGAACACCCTTGGCTGTCATCCCTTCCCTTCCACACCCTGGAACCTGGAAATGCAGTGAGCAAGTGCCAGGGATGGCAGCCCTAAAACTCCACAAGTGGAAATAAAAATTCCCATTTTGGCAGCCCCAAAATTCCACACATGGACACAAAAAATTCCCATCCTGGCAGCCCTGAAACTCCTCCACAAACGGACACAAAAAGTTCCTGCCTGACCCCATCCTGGCAGTCCCAAAATTCCACACATGAACACAAAAAATTCCCATCCTGGCAGCCCCGAAATGCCTGCACAAATGGATATTAAAAATTGCCATCTTGGCAGCCCCAAAACTTCTACACATCGACATAAAAAATTCCCATTGTGGCAGCCCTGAAATGCCCGCACAAATGGATATTAAAAATTCCCATCTTGGCAGCCCCAAAACTTCTACACACGGACACAAAAAATTCCCATTATGGCAGCACCAAAGCTCCAAAAATGGACATAAAAAGTTCCCATGATGGCAGCCCCGAATGGACGTAAAACTTCCCATCCTGGCAGCCCCAAAACTTCTATACATGGACACAAAAAATTCCTAATTTTGGCAGTCCCAAAACTCCACACACCAACACAAAAAATTTATGCCTGACCCCATCCTGGCAGCCCCAAAATTCCACACATGGACACAAAAAATTCCCATCGTGGCAGCCTCAAAACTCCACAAATGGACACAAAAAATTCCTGCCTGAGCCATGGCAGCCCCATCCTCCTGAAGGCCACGGAAGCTTCCCAGAAGGGTCAGAGATGCCAAAACCCCAGAGCCAACCCCAAATGTTTCCCTCAGCTTGGGCTGGTGGCCCTGCAGGGATGGGAATCACAGGAATTCTGCACCAAGCAGCTCCAGCTTGGGGAAAAGCAGAATTTCCAGAGCTGGAATTCCAAAGGGAACTGGGAATGTGCAGCATCAGTAAAATCAGGATGTGCTGAGGGCATCAGGAGCTCAGAAAAAATGCAGCCAAGTGAGGTAAAATCAGCATTTTGACCCTTGGATGAGAGAGAATCAAGACATCACTGCAGGGTCTCCTCCCTCCTCACCCTTTCCTGTCACTCTGCACGACCCCAACTCAAATAAGTGGGTTAAAAATGGGAGGAAAATGAGGAATTAGAGCTCCCAATTCCCACCCTCTCCTTGTCAGCAGCAGGCAAACACAGCTGGAAGGTTTCATCACCTCACAGAGGTCAGGAAATTGAATTTATTCGGCAATTCCATTTTTTGACCTGAGAAAAATCCCCTGGTTCCTGCATTTCTTTGTGTGAGGGAGTAAAATCCATAAAATATTGAGCAGGGCAGAAGTTCCATTTAAAAAAAAAAAGGAGTGATTCAAAAATATCAAAACATGTTACTTCAATAAGATTGAAACATTCCTCCTGATGAATGTTTAAAGTAAAATCACTTCCACATTAGAATAATAAAAGTCAAAACTAAACAAGAACATCCAAACCAAGTGTTTTGACATTATTGAAAGGAAACAAGTTGACATGAATCTTTCACAGCTTTCTCCATCAAATATTATTCATACAAGGGGAAATTTTTTGTCAAAACTGCATTTTCTGAGGGAAAAATGTAGCAGCAGGAATTTTGCAGAGCTCTTTGTGATGTTTGGCTGAGGGTGGTGGGTGGGAAATTGGGTGAGGAATGAGAAAAAAAACTCCCTCACACCTCCCCAAATCCAGGATGCTCCTCCCTGGGAATTCCTGTTCTTGCCTGCATCATTTCTGAAGGAAAATGAGGATTTTTCTGGGGAAAATGAGGATTTTTCTGAGGGGAAAATAAGGATTTTTCTGAGGGGAAAATGAGGATTTTTTTCTGAAGGAAAATGAGGATTTTTCTGAGGGGAAATGAGGATTTTTTTTCTGAGGGAAAATGAAGATTGTTCTGAGGGAAAATGAAGATTTTTTCTGAGGGAAAATGAGGGGTTTTCTGAGGGAAAATGAGGATTTTTGGAGCTGCCAGCAAGTCAAACTCAGTTTTCTGGAAGGGGTAGCCACAGGGTGAAGGATTTTTGAGACTGTGGAAACCCCACAAATCTCATCCCCAGCCAGGAAACACCCAGGAAAATATTTTACCTCACACACAGGTTTTGTACTTAAATGAACTTGCTTAATTAATTAATGCTTATGGTGTCAGGTAGGAATTTAGGGAGGAGGGTGTTTCTGTTGCATTTTAGTTTCTGCCTCCAAGAATGAATGAAAATGATCCCATTTTTATCTCATTCCAGCCCAAAGGATTTTACCTCACACTCAGGATTTTGTACTTAAATGACCTTGGCTTAATTAATTAATTAAAGCTAATGGTGTCAGGTAAGAATATGGAGGAATCAAGACCAGGGTGTTTTTGTTGCATTTTAGTTTCTGCCTCCAAGAATGAATGAAAATTATCCCATTTTTATCTCATTCCAGCCTAAAGGATTTTACCTTACACACAGGATTTTGTACTTAAATGACCTTGGTTTAATTAATTAAAGCTTATGCTGTCAGGTAGGAATTTAGAGGAGGGTGTTTCTGTTGCCTTTTAGTTTTTGCCTCCAAGAATGAATGAAATTGGGTGATTTGTTGGGAAAACTCCTTGCCCTGGAGCTGGTGCCTTCAACATCCATCAGGATATTCCTGCAGAATTCCCAGCCCATTCAACCTTTATTTCTTCTACTGATGAACCTGAGTTTATGCCAAGCAACAGCATAAATGTAAATGAATTTTATAAATTGCTGTGGTAAGAACAGAAACATCACAAAAAACTCCACCAAAAACCAGAACAAAGCCAAATTGTAATTCACTGTCTCATTGTTTTAATAGAAAGCCAGAAGTTCAAATTAAAACCAGATTTATGGGCGCTCCCACACTAATTTAATTTGGATTTCTGCTGGAATTGGGAAGGAGCTGAGTCAGGTCTGAGCCCCCTGCTGCAGGCAGGGGATGATTAAAAGCTGTTTATTGTCAGGGGAGTGCTGAGCAAGGCTTTGGCTGTGGAGAGCTGGAATTCAGCCCCACGGTGCTAAAGAGGCTTAGGAGCTCTGCAGGGCTGGAGGTGGAGATTTCCTCCCCTGCCCTTTCTGCTTTTCATCAAACTTTTTCATCTTACCACAGGAATTGATACAATTGATTTACCTTTATGCTCTTGCTTGGAATAAACTCCAGTTCTTCAGCAGAAGGAATAAGGATTTTATTTTTCTTTTTTTCAAACTTTGCTGGGATGAGCTGCTGCTTCCTGCAGCTCTTTTGCCAATTATCCAGGTGGGAATCCAGCCCTGGATTTATCTTATTTTAGGTTCTGCATCTCCTGCCTCACTGTTTTGTTGGTGTTGGGGTCTCTGAGGAGGCCAAGGGGTTTCCATCCCTGTTGCTCTGCTCTCCCATTAAATTAAATTTAATTTAAATTAAATGAAATTTAATGGCTTGAGTTTGTCACAAAGCAGGAGCCACAGAAGGGCTTTGAGCTCTTTTTGCCAAGGTTCCTGGTGTTTAAGCCTGGCCTAAAGCTCAGGACAGGGTTTAATGCGATGCTGGTCCTAGCAAAGCCAGGCCCAGTGCTGCACCTGCTCTGCTGTTTTTGGGTGGCAGGGAGGGGCAGGAAGGGATTTTTCCTTTTAATTCACCCCCTCCTTGCTGAGTTTCCTCTTTAGATCCTTTTTTATCTCCTTCAGGGAATCCCAGACTGGTTTGGGTTGGAAGAGGCCTTAAAGCCCATCCTGTTCCACCCCAACATGGGGTCAGAACACGCCAACACCCATGACAGCAGCAAACACAAGCTTAGGCCAGACTTGAGCACTCACATTTTGCTGCATTCTGGGAAGATTTTTTTAAAAAATCCCAATATTAACTTTTATTAACCTTGATTTCACCTGAAACAGCCCAGTTTAAAGCAGCTGATACCAGAGACCTGCTGGAACCAGAGATTCCCCATTCCATCCCTTCCCACAGGCACAACCTGTTGCTGAAATTCCCATCTTTTTTCCCAATAAAACACCTGAAATGGCAATGGGACAGCCCTCACTCAGGTTGGATGGGAAAGGAAACTCTTAAGGAAAAAAATAAAAAGAAACAAACCTGCAGAGCTTTGATTTATTTAGAGGAGCTCCCTTTTCTCCCCAGTCCCTGCACCCATTTTGATTTATTTAGAGGAGCTCCCTTTTCTCCCCAATATCTGCACTGATTTTTGATTTATTTAGAGGAGCTCCCTTTTCTCCCCAGTCCCTGCACTGATTTTTGATTTATTTAGAGGAGCTCCCTTTTCTCCCCAGTCCCTGCACTGATTTTTGATTTATTTAGAGGAGCTCCCTTTTCTCCCCAGTCCCTGCACTGATTTTTGATTTATTTAGAGGAGCTCCCTTTTCTCCCCAGTCCCTGCACTGATTTTTGATTTATTTAGAGGAGCTCCCTTTTCTCCCCAGTCCCTGCACTGATTTTTGATTTATTTAGAGGAGCTCCCTTTTCTCCCCAGTCCCTGCACTGATTTTTGATTTATTTAGAGGAGCTCCCTTTTCTCCCCAGTCCCTGCACTGATTTTTGATTTATTTAGAGGAGCTCCCTTTTCTCCCCAGTCCCTGCACTGATTTTTGATTTATTTAGAGGAGCTCCCTTTTCTCCCCAGTCCCTGCACTGATTTTTGATTTATTTAGAGGAGCTCCCTTTTCTCCCCAGTCCCTGCACTCAGCTGGTCCCTGATATTTTGGGAAAAGGGGAATTGGGAGGGAGGAGCCTGGGTTACCTTCGTAGGTGGCTTTGAAGCCCAGCAGGTTGCTGACACTGTCGGTCTGGAACAGGAGCCACATCTGGTGCTGGGTGCTGACAATGAGGTCAGGGACTGTGGTGCCTGTCAGGCTGCAAAAATAAGTAAGAAAAATAAATTAAAATTATATCATATACAAAAATTAGTTAAAATAATAATTATTTAAAATATTATATGTTTATATTAATTATATATTGGTAAATTATACTGTTATTAAATTATATATTATAGTAATAAAATATTGTTAGCATTATAAAATTAATAGTAACAATATGATAATATAAAGACATAATAATATAATATATTAAACTATAATATTATTAAATTATATATTAATTGAAATAAAGTATAGCATAACATAATATTACATAATACAACATAATATAACATAATATAAAATATAATTATAATGATTAATTAATTAATAATTAATATAAATAACAACATATTACATAATTGATAATATGATAATATAATAAAGATATAATAAAAATACATAATATAATGTAAAATATTATATAATTATAAATAATATATAAATATTGTATGATTATAAAAATATAATAGAATACATAATAATAGAATAAAAACAGCCTCAAAGTGGCCTCAGATTCACCACCCTCAAATAAAGGACTCTGCAGGAGAAGGAAATGCCAAACTAATTAAGAATCACCCCAAAAACCTGGGAGATTTTGGAGCCTGGTGAAAATCCTTCCATGTTCAGTCTTGCCCCACCACCCTCAGTGCAATAATTACAATTCCCTGCTGTTGTTGGATCAGATCACCCAGCAGCCAAAGGAATCGTTTCCCTGCTCGCTGAGGCAAACATCAGCAAACAAATCAAATTCCCAGGAGCCAAAGTGAGCCCTGAGTGACTGAATCCCCTGAACTGCCCTCGCAGCAGTTTGCAGGGGCACAGAAAATGACTTTCCATCCGTTCCCTGCTCCATTGCTGCACTGAGAGAAGTTTCTAGGAAAGGAAAAAAAGCACACAGAGTGTCGGAATCCAGAACACTCCTCTGGCTGCCCTGGGTCGTTCCAGACACTGGCAGGGGGCACAGAGACCTTGGCACGGAGTCACAAACACCTGAGCCTTTGATTTTAGCCCATGGAAACAATTACCAACTTTGTGAAGATTTAAAAGCCACAAGAGTTTGAGTAGAATGATAGTGAATTTATCACAGGGTGAATATGTAGAATTTTAAAGTTTTTAGAATGGGGGTTCAAGAGGCAAGATGGAGGAATCTGGGTGTGATCTGTCCTTCTCCTTCTTCTTCTTGGCCTCAATCTTCTACTGTGATATCGGCACTTTTAGATTGGTTTAAGGTAGAAGCTCACTGTCTAACATAGGTGATAGGTATTGGAAAGTAATTGTAAATAAAGTACACATAGTTCTTAGTATAAAAAGCTAACACCAATCCAAGGGCAGGGACTGCGCCACAACCTGACCTGCCAGACAGATAAGGAAAAATAAACAGCCTTGAGAAGGAGAACCAAGGAATCCTGACTTCTTCTTGGGTCTCAGGGTGGGGAAAAAGAGACTTTCCAACACCTTGGGGTCATCTCAACAGCAGAGACCTCATCACCAGCAGGAGCCCCAAATGGGCTGAAAACCCTGTGAGCCTTTGAGAATCCAAACGTGCTGAACACCCCTGAGAATCCAAACGTGCAGAACACCCCTGAGCCCCTGAGAAGTGCCACTAATCCCAGCAGGATCAGGGCTCTGCCTTCCCCTCAGCATCCTCCCAGGAGGGCTGAGATTGAGGGAAATATCATTGGTATCTCCCCCTATTAACGAGGCTCATTCAGCCTCTGGGATTAATCACCTCAGCACAGCTACAGAGCTTTATCCCCCACACCCACAGGAGCATCTTTGGCACAGGCAGATGGAGCTCAGCTCCTGCCTCCCTTCCCAGGAGCAGCGTTTGCGTGGGTGGGATGATTATTCCAGGAGCAGGGCTCTTGTGTTGCCTGTGTTTAATGTTGTGATTATCCTGTTTCTGCTCAGGTATTATCTGCGAGAAATTCAGAAATTAACAGCAAGTGGAGAGGGGTGAGAGGTTTTTTTTTTTTTTTTATCTTTTCTGCAGGGTTTAAATAAATCCCAATCGATGTGTTCAGCTCTGGGTTGGGTCTGGCCCCAGCTACAATAGCAGCACTTGAAAGGCTCCTGGATAAAAGTAAACTCAGCAGAAGGGGACAGGGAATTGCTGGAGCAGAGGGATGTGAGGCTGATAAAGGGACAGGAGCCAGGCTGGGAATGTTCAGCCTGGAGAAGGAAAGGTTGAGCGGAGCCCTCACAGCTCCTGTCAGCACCAGGAACTGCAGTGCAGGACAAGGGGGAATGAACTCAAACTGGGAAAAGGGGAGAATTGGGTGGGATTTTGGGAAAAAATTGCTCCTGACAGAGGAGGGATGTGAAGCTGATAAAGGGACAGAAGCCAGGCTGGGGGAGTTGGGAATGTTCAGCCTGGAGAAGGAAAGGTTGAGTGGAGCCCTCACAGCAGCTTCAGGAACTGCAGTGCAGGACAAGGGGGAATGAACTCAAACTGGGAAAAGGGGAGAATTGGGTGAGATTTGGGGGAGAAATTGCTCCTGCCAGAGGAGGGATGTGATCCAGGTTGGGAGAGTTGGGAATGCTCAGCCTGGAGAAGGAAAGATCAGTGGAGCCCTCACAGCAGCTTCAGGAACTGCAGTGCCAGGACAAGGGGGAAGGGATTCAAAGTGGAAAAGGGGAGAATTGGGTGGGATTTGGGGGAGAAATTGCTCCTGCCAGAGGAGGGATGTGAGGCTCACAAAGGGACAGGATCCAGGCTGGGAATGTTCAGCCTGGAGAAGGGAAAGTTGAGTGGAGCCTCCTCAGCATCCTGGGAGCTGCAGGAGAACTGGAGAGGGACTCAGCACCAGGAACTGCAGGGCCAGGACAAATTCTAACTGGAAAAGGGGAGAATTGGGTAGGATTTGGGGAAGAAATTGCTCCTGCCAGAGGAGGGATGCGATCCAAGCTGGGAGAATTGGGAATGTTTAGCCTGGATTAGGGAATGTTGAGTGGAGCCCTCACAGCTCCTGCCAGGAGAGCTGGAGAGGGACTCAGTACCAGAACTGCAGTGCCAGGACAAGGGGGAATGGATTCAAAGTGGAAAATTGGAGAATTGGGTGGGATTTTGGTGTTACAGCGCCTGAGTGGGTCGCTGCTGGTGAGAGAGACGATGAATTTTGTTTCTTGATCAGAAGGCTGGATTTATTGATATATGATATAAAATACATTATGACTATACTAAATAGAATAAAGAGAGAAGTTTGCAGATGCTGCTAAGCTAAGAATAGAAAGAAAGAATCCAAAACAAAGTTGTGCCCAGGGACTCGGTCCCCTGGCTTGCTCTTGTGATTGGCCCTCAATTATAAACATACAAACATGAGCCAATCAAGGTGTCCCTGTTACATTCCACAGCAGCTGATAACAATTGTTTACATTCTTCTTCTGGGGCCCTCAGCTTCCCAGAAAATGCAGAAATCTGAAAGAAAGGATTTCTGTGAAAAAATGTCTGCGACAATTTTGGGGAGGAATTCCTGGCTGTGAGGGTGGGCAGGCCCTGGCATAGGGTGCCCAGAGAAGCTGTGGCTGCCCCTGGATCCCTGGCAGGGCCCAAGGCCAGGCTGGACAGGCTTGGAGCAGCCTGGGACAGTGGAAGGTGTCCCTGTCATGGCTGGATGAGCTTTAAGGTCCTTCTACCCCAAACCATCCCAGGATTCTGTGTCACCCCTCAGTGCAGGTGACATCAACTCCGCTCCCTGCCAGGTTCCAGCTCCTCTCCAGGACAGGGATCTCAGGGAAATGGGGCCTCCCTGGGCATCACAGACCTGTCCTGCCCATCCAGGCCCTGTCCCTGTCCCTCACAGGCCCCAGGGACAGGGACACCATGCCCAGGCTCTGAACCTAGAGTGGTTTTTGTTTTGTTTTTCCTGCAATCACAATCCCAGCCAAGCTCTGCCCCCCCCTCTGCTCTGATTTCCCTGACCTGCAGCAGGATTTTATTGATCTCAGGGTGCTGTTAAATGAAGAAGTGATCTTGTTTTAGTGCCTGTTTTGCATCCCAGAGATGTTCAGGAGTGTTATTGTTGATTCTCAGTTTATTTATTGAAGCAGCAGCCAGGCAGGAATGAGGAACACTCCAAGAGGAAAAAAAACACCAGGAAAAGGAGCTTCAAAGCTTTCTGCATCTTTTGCCACCCCACTTTGAACAAGCTGGGGTGGGGGATTGATTTGAGTCCTTGTTAATTCAGAAAATTAAATTCCTACAGCCTAAAAATCTGTTCTGCTCCCATTTTCATTTGGGAATGAGCCTGGAAAAAATCCTTCCCAGCTCAGTTTGGGGTGGAATTTGCTGCTCTGCATCTCCCCTCAAGTGCATTCCTTGATTGGGAAGGCAGCAGGGCTGAGCTCCTCAACAACCAAGGAAAAAAATTGGAATTATTGCCTTTGACAGGAGTTGCTGCATTTTGATTCTTCCAAAGAAACCTCACTTTGTATCCAGGTATTATTCCTGAATAATCCAGCTAAGAGTGGGCAGAAAACTCTGGGAAAAGTGATCCATGGATTTTCAAGCACATTAATTAGCACTGTGGTCCTCACAACGCTCTCCCATTTCATTACTTTTCAATTCATCCTCCCAGATTATTAAAAATAAAAATATATCCCAGGAAGGATTAGCAGCAGGAATTTACTGAAAACTTCCTGGGAAAAGATTCCAGGCACTGCACTTTGCTCAGTCTCACATATTCCAAATTTGCATCAGCACCACCTGGCCAGGTGCATTCCTGCAGGACAGAATTGGGGAATTGGTAGTCACATATAAAGCACAGAGGGGACAATTTTCTGTCCCCAAAGTAACAGAAAACCACTTAAAAAAACTCTAAAACCCTAAAAGTAAACCTTAAAGCCCTAAAACTGGATCCCTGCATCCCAAGCCCACAACCTCACCTGGCCAGGTGCATTCCCACAGGAGAAAATTGGGGAATTGGTATTCACACGTGAAGCACAGAAAAGAAAATTTTCTGTCCCCAAAGTGACAAAAAACCACTTAAAAAAGCCCTAAAACCACTGGATCCCTGTGTGCCAAGCCCTCAGCTGCACCTGGCCAGGTACATTCCCTCAGGAGAAAATTGGGGTATTGGAACTCACACATTTAGCACAGATGGGACAATTTTCTGCCCCCAAAGTGACAAAAAAACACTTAAAAAAAGCCCTAAACCCACTGGATCCTGGCATATCAAGCCCTCCAGCCTCACCTGGGCAGGTGCATTCTGCTACTCACGCATACAGCACAGAGGGAACAATTTAAGGAAATCCAATTTTCTGTCCCCAAAGTGACAACCAGCCCCAAACCCACCAGATCCCTGCATGCCAAGCCATGCAGGTACAGGTGCATTCCTGCAGGGGGGAATTGGAACTCACACATAAAGCTCAGAGGGGACAATTTTCTGTCCCCAAAGTGACAGAAAACCACTAAAAAAAAAAGCCCCAAAACCACTGGATCCCTGCAGCCCCAGGCCAGGTGCATTTTGGGACTCACACATAAAGCACAGATGGGACAATTTAAGGAAATCCAAATTTCTGTCCCCAAAGTGACAACCAGCCCCAAAACCCACTGGATCCCTGCATCCTAAACCCTCAGCCCCACCTGGCCAGGTGCATTCTGGTACTCTCACATAAAGCACAGATGGGACAATTTAAGGAAATCCAATTTTCTGTCCCAAAAGTGACAACCAGCCCCAAACCCACTGGATCCCTGCATCCTAAACCCTCAGCCCCACCTGGCCAGGTGCATTCCTGCAGGAGAAAACTGGGGAATTGGAATTCACACATACAGCTCAGAGGGGACAATTTTCTGTCCCCAAAGTGACAGAAAACCACCAAAAAAAATATCCCTAGACCCACTGGATTCTGGCATCCCAAGCCCTCAGCCCCACCTGGCCAGGTGCAATCCTGCAGGATGGTACTCACACATAAAGCACAGATAGGACAATTTAAGGAAATCCAATTTTCTGTCCCAAAAGTGACAACCAGCCCCAAACCCACTGGATCCCTGCATCCTAAACCCTCAGCCCCACCTGGCCAGGTGCATTCCTGCAGGAGAGAATTGGTACTGACACCTAGTGCACAGAGGGGACAATTCTCTGTCCCCAAAGTGACAGAAAACCACTGAAAAAAAGCCCTAAACCCACTGGATCCTGGCATATCAAGCCCTCCAGCCTCACCTGGGCAGGTGCATTCTGCCACTCACACACAAAGCACAGAGGGAACAATTTAAGGAAATCCAATTTTCTGTCCCCAAAGTGACAACCAGCCCCAAAACCCACTGGATCCCTGCATCCTAAACCCTCAGCCCCACCTGGCCAGGTGCAATCCCACAAGAGGGAATTGAGGAATTGGTACTCACACATAGAGCACGGATTTCTGGTCTCCGACCTGGCCTCCATCCCCCACTGTCAGGGTGTCGTAGCCTCTCTCCAGCTCGAACTCCTCGAAGGTGAGTTTGATCACCTGCCAAAGACACAATTAACACAATTAATTCATCAATTAACACCAAGCCCTGCTCGTGGATCCCGCAGCAGCTCCCAAGAGCATCGAAATCTCCAAAACATCCCAAAAAGTTGGGTGGTTTTTCTTGGTTTTTTGTTAGGTTTTTTTGGGTTTTTTGGGGTTTTTTTGGTTTTTTTTTTCTCTGAAATCTGGAAATGTAATTAATTTAATTTAATTATTTAATGATTTATATTTATTGATGATTTATATTTATTGATGATTTTTGTTAAAGAGCCAGGGAGCCACCAACACCCCAAACCTGGATCTGCTGAAGTAACAGAACAGCAGCTCATGCAGTTCTAACCTGAAGCTTTACAAGCTTGTATTTATTTACCTATTTTCCTTTTTCTTTTTTTGAACATTGTATTTATTTATCCATTTTCCTGGTTTTTTTGTTATTGTGTTTTTTTGCGTATTTTTGGGTTTTTTTAATATTGTGTTTATTTACCCATTTTATTTATTTACCCATTTTCCTGGTTTGTTTTTTTAAATATTGTGTTTATTTACCCACTTTATTTATTTACCCATTTTCCTGGGTTTTTTTTTAATATTGTATTTATTTATCCATTTTCCTGGTTTGTTTTTTTTAATATTGTATTTATTTACCCATTTCCTGGTTTGTTTTTGTGTTGAATATTGTATTTATTTCCCCATTTCCTGTTTTTTTATTTTTTAAATATTGTATTTATTTACCTATTTTCCTGGGTTTTTTTGCTCTGAAAGTTGGAAATGCAATAATTTAATTAAATTATTTACTGATTTGTTAAAGAGCCAGAGAGCCACAGAACCCCCAAACCTGGAACCGCTAAAGTGACAGCAAAGCCAGGAAAATGGGAAAATGAGATGAAACTCCTGATTCCGAAGTGATTGGAAGTTCAGTCACATTTTGAGGAGAAAAATCCACAATAATTCACTCCAGCGGCTCTAACCTGAAGCTTTCCAAGCTCATTCCTCATTTCCCTGCCCTCAGGGTCCAGAATTTCCCCCTCCTTTTGGGATAAATCATCCCCTTCTCCCTCCATCAGCTTGGACGTGGCTTTTTTTGGGAATAACCCCAGGAGAAACCTCAACCAGCAACATCCATTGTGTCAAAAAAAAGGCCAGAAATAGCTTTTATGCAAATTCCCCAATTATCATATGCATTTCTCAGCTCCCCAGAGATTTCTTTTCCCCACTGTGGTTGGAATTAATTCCCAAAGCACCAGGGCCCAGCTAAAAAAACCCCAGAATATTCCCAAAAGAGGTTTTGATGTCCCCAATCTGCAGTGGAAAAAAATCCCAATTTGTCAGTGAGGAGGCCTCAGCCCTGTGGATGCAAAATTCCCAATTTTGAGGGGAAAATTGTAAATTTGGAGGGGATTTTGGGGCTCAGTGGGTCTCAGGCTCTTTTTTTAACAAATATAGAGCAGAAGACTTGCAAATAATTCCTAAATTCAGCTCCCTGCTTCTTCCAAAGCTCCATGGAGCAGGAGCTGATCAAAAAACCACTGAGACCATGAAAAGATTACAAAAAAAAAAATTACAAAATATTCTTTCCAAGTATTTTATGGGAATTATTGGAAGTAATTCATCCCAAATCCTTCCCTCAGCCAGGAAATGCTGGGATCATCCATGAGGGACAAGCAGGGAGAGCTGTGACCTTCCCAAAGGATTTGGTGCTTTCCTCCCAACCCTCCCTGCTCCAGGAGAGCTTTTCCCAACCTGGAAATTAAAGTTTCTACCATGAAACACCTAAAACCAAAAGAATCCCTTCAAAAAGTGACATTAATTGAATTAATTAAAGCTATTTATCATTTCAAAGGCAATGGGATCTCCTCTTCCAGCTGACAAATTTCCATATTTCTGGGGATGATGGAGCAGAACCTGCGGTTCCTTGGTGGGAAATCCTAAAATTAATGGATTTGACCAATTCCAATCTCCTTTAGGATTTAGGAAAGCAGGGAGAGCTGTGGCCTTCCCACAGGGGTTGCTGATTTTTTCTTCCCTGCTTCAGGAGAGGTTTTCCCTCCCTGTAAACGACACTGAAACACCTAAACCCAAGAAAAATCCCTCAAAACCTGACATTAATTGAATTAATTAAAGCTGTTTATCATTTCAAAGGCAAAGGCAATGGGATCTCCTCTCACAGCTCAAAAATTTCCAAATTTCAGTGCAGGATGGAGCAGAACCTGCAGTTCCTTGTGCTGTGGAATCTCTGATCCAAGCTGGGAAATCTTAAAATTAATGCATTTGACCAATTCCAATCTCCTTTAAGATTTAGGAAAGCAGGGAGAGCTGTGGACTTCCCAAAGGATTTGGTGCTTTTCTTCCTTGCTTTAGGTTTTCCCTCCCTGTAAACGACACTGAAACACCCAAACACCTCAAAAAATCCTTCAAAAATTGACATTAATTGAATTAATTAAAGCTATTTATCATTTCAAAGGCAAAGGGATCTCCTCTCACAGCTGACAAATTTCCGTATTTCTGTGGATGACAGAGCAGAACCTGCAGTTCCTTGTTGGGAAATCTGAAAATGGATGGATTTGACCAATTCCAATCTCATTTATGTACAGGTATGACAGCCCTGGCCTGGGAATGATCAATCCCTGTCCATTTTCCCCTGGCAATGGGAATTGTTTGGTGCCCTCACAGCTTTTTCCAGTCTCACCCCATTACAAGGAGAGCCAGGGCTCATATTTAAATTTAAACCAGTGCAAAAATGTCAATAAATTCACAATGCTGCATAAATAGCATGAGATAGACCCAAACCTCACTCCTCTGCCCTTGGGGGCTGAAATCCTGCTGGATAAAGGGGAAAAAATTGGGAAAAATCAGCATTCCTGGCACAGCCTCCCTGCCCCGATGAGCTGGGCACCTCCCCACACCAGATATCAAAGGGGCTTCGATTGCAAATAATTACACTCACTTTTAATTACAACCCTGAACTAAACGAGCCTTCAGCAGGGAGGGAAGGGCAGGGATTTCAGGACAGCTGGGAAAACACAGGGAAGAGTGTGTGGGGACAGAAACTGAGCCTGGGGGGCTGAAAAAACCCCGAATGTGAGAGCGAGGAGGGGCTGGAAAAGGTTTCCCTCTGGATCCCAAAGTGGAAAGGGCTTGGAGCAACCTGGGATAGTGGAGGGGTCTGGATGTGTTTAAAGTGTCTGGATGTGTTTGAAAGTGTCTGGATGAGTTTGGATGTGTCTGGAAGTATCTGCATGAGTTTGGAAGCGTCTGGATGAGTTTGGAAATGTCTGGGTGAGTCTGAACATGTCTGGAAGTATCTGGATGAGTTTGGAAGTGTCTGGATGTGTTTGGATGAGTCTGGATGTGTCAGGAATTGTCTGCATTTGTTTGGATGTATCTCGATGTGCATGGGTATGTTTGGAGGTGTCTGGATTTGTCTGGATGTTCCTGGATGTCCTTGGATGTGTCTGGAAGTATTTGGAAGCATCTGGATGTGTCTGGATCTGTTTGGAAGTGTCTGGATGTCTCTGGATGTTTTGGAAGTGTTTGGATGGGCCTGGAGGTGTCTGGAATTGTTTGGACGTGTCTGGAATTGTCTGGAAGCACAGCTACCTTTCAGGGGTTGTGGAGGGTGATGAGGTGACCCCTGAGTGTCCCTTTGTCCAGGCTGAGCTCCCTCAGTGGTTCCTCAAAGGGTTTGTGTTCCCCAGCTCAAGAATCCCAACATCCCTCCCAAACTGAGGGCCCAGAAGCACAAGCACCTCTCAGGAAGGTGATGAGGGCACCCCTAAGCCTCCTTTTGTCCAGGACAAACACCCCCAACTCCCTCCGGGGTTCCTCACAGGGTTTGTGCTCCCAGCCCCTCTGATCAGCTCAAGAGTCCCAAAATCCTCCCAAACTGAGAGTCCAGAAGCACAGGCACCTTTCAGGAGCTGCAGAGAGTGATGAGGGCACCCCTGAGCCTCCTTTTGTCCCTCAGTGGTTCCTCACAGGGTTTGTGTTCCCAGCCTCTCTGGATGAGCTCCCAATGTCCTTTGCAAGCTGAGGGCCCAGAAGCAAGGGAACCTTTCAGGGCTGTGGAGGGTGATGAGGTGACCCCTCTGAGGGTTTCTGAACCCCTCTGGATGAGCTCAAGAGTCCCAACATCCTTCCCAAACTGAGGGCCCAGAAGCACAGCCACCTTTCAGGAGCTTTGGAGGGTGATGAGGTCACCCCTGAGTCTCCTTCTGTCCAGGCCAGCTCCCTCAGTGGCTCCTCACTCAGGGGTTGTGGAGGGTGATGAGGTGACCCCCGAGTGTCCATCTGTCCAGGCCAAGCCCCCCAGTTCCCTCAGTGGCTCCTCACTCAGGGGTTGTGGAGGGTGATGAGGTGACCTCCAAGTGTCCATCTGTCCAGGCCAAGCCCCCCAGTTCCCTCAGTGGTTCCTCACTCAGGGGTTGTTCAGGGTGACGAGGTGACCGCCGAGTGTCCATCTGTCCAGGCCAAGCCCCCCAGTTCCCTCAGTGGTTCCTCACTCAGGGGTTGTTCAGGGTGACGAGGTGACCCTCGAGTGTCCATCTGTCCAGGCCAAGCCCCCCAGTTCCCTCAGTGGCTCCTCACTCAGGGGTTGTGGAGGGTGATGAGGTGACCCCCAAGTGTCCATCTGTCCAGGCCAAGCCCCCCAGCTCCCTCAGTGGTTCCTCACTCAGGGGTTGTTCAGGGTGACGAGGTGACCGCCGAGTGTCCATCTGTCCAGGCCAAGCCCCCCAGCACCCTCAGTGCTTCCTCACTCAGGGGTTGTGCAGGGTGACGAGGTGACCCCCGAGTGTCCATCTGTCCAGGCCAAGCCCCCCAGCTCCCTCAGTGCTTCCTCACTCAGGGGTTGTGCAGGGTGACGAGGTGACCCCTGAGTGTCCGTCTGTCCAGCCAAGCCCCCCAGCTCACCTTGGCGGGGTTGAGGGCGGTGATGACCCACACGCAGTAGGCGTTGTTGTCGTACTGCACGGGGTAGTTGGGGGACGTGATGACGCCGCTGGGCCCGCGCAGGTACGTGTCACACATCCTGGCTGGGGACACAAACGGGGACACTCAGCGCTGCTGGGGGGGCAGGAGGAGGGATGAGCTTGGGATGGAGGTGGGAGGAGGTGGAAAAGGGAAGAGGGGGGAAAAAATGGAGAAGTTGGTGTTTTCACGGCCTACACTGCTCCTTTTTTACACCCGGGTGGTGAAAATGAGGGGTTTCTCTGTGAGGAGTGGGGCCATCAACCCTTGATCCCAAAAACCCCTGATCCCATCAAACCTTGACCCCATCAATCACTGATCTCATCAAACCCCGATCCCATCAATCACTGACCCCACCAAGCCCCAATCCTAATAGTCCCTGATCCCATCAAACCCTGATCCTATAAAACCTCTGATCCCATCAATGCCTGATGCCAACAATCTCTAATCCCATCAACCTCTGATCCCAACAAACCCTGATTTCACCCAAACCTGATCCCAACAATCCGTGATCCCAACAACCTCTGATCCCATAAAATCCTGATCCCATCAATCCCTGATCTCACCCAAACCTGATCCCATCAATGCCTGATGCCATCAAACCCTGATCCCATCAAACCCAGATCCCAACAACCCTGTCTCACCCAAATCTAATCCCAACAACCTCCGATCCCATCAACCTCTGATCCCATCAAACCTAATTCCCCAACAATCCATGATCCCAACAACCCCAAACCCATAAAACCCTGATGCCAGCAACTCCTGAACCAACCCAAACCTGATCCAAATAATTCCTGATCTGAACAAACCCTGATCCCAAAAACCCCTGATCCCAGCAAACCCTGATCTCACCCAAACCTGATCCCAACAACTCCTGATCATACCCAAATATGATCCCAATAAACCCCAATCCCATCAACCCATGATCCCAACAAACCCTGATCCCACCAAACCCCAATTCCATCAATCCTTGTTCCCACTTCCCCTCAGACCAACACCCAACTCTCTATGCTCACATTGATTTATTTCCTTTTTTCCCCTCACAAAAACCCTTCCCCATCCAGGCCAGGAATGACACAACTCCTTCCTGATGTTCCCAAAAAACCCCATTCCCTTTCTTCCTGCACATCAAACCCCCAAAACACTGCACAGCCAGGATTTATTAGGTCATTATTAAGTATTTATCAGCTGGTTTCCTTCTGTGGGCTCAGAACTAAGGTGGCAACTCAGCTCTGCATCTTCAAAACACCTCAGGTAAAGGAAAAACTGGAAAAAGTGCTTAAGCAGGGAAAATTTTGCCTGTGGAATGCCTTTGATGTAATATTTAGCTGAAATATTCCACAAAAAAAAGGTGGGGAAAAACATCCTGGTTCTGGAAATAGCCTCTGCTGTGATAGAGCCTCAAAATTAATTTATTGTTGAAGTTTATTTATTTATTTAAATGTATTATTTAATTTTGGAGATGTATTTGCATTTTTGGAGTCTGCAAAGGTTTTTTTTCTTTGTAAAATACAGAAAATCATCTCCTGGCCAAGCTGTGGGAAGAGAACTTTCCCCCAAAGTTTTCTCACTGGAGATTAAAAAATTATTGAAGCCCAAGGGGTTAAAATCTGTGACTGACTGGAGAATTTGAGAGAAACACAATTTTAAAAAATGGCACAAACTGGGAGAAAAATTGGCAGAAAGCTGAAATAAAATTGAAACTTTTTAAATAGAAAAAAAACCCCCAAAATATGAAAGTCAGCAGCTAAAAAAATTAAGTTGATTCACAGAAACAGAATAATGCTGGCAAATCCTTTCTTATCTCTTGTGGGAGGACACCATAAATTTCCTTTACAGTGTCACATATTTATGCCAAATATCCTCTTACACTGATTCAATTTATTCCAGGCTTGTTTCAAGAATTACATGGGATTCCAAAGCCTTGAAAAAATCTGCAGATGAAATTAAAGAAAAAAAGAACCGGGGGAAAAAAAACCCTATTTATGATTTTAAGAGCTTTAAAGGGATTCAATTAAAAATATTACAAGTTGTTCTTTATTAGCATTACAAATATCACAATGTGACATTTCGGAGAGGGAATGAAAACAAAATGGCCAAGGGCAAAATGGGAAAAATGAGAAAAAAATTCCATTCCCTGATGGCTCATGGCACAGGATGAGGCTCCCGGGGAAGCACAGCCCCAAAATTCCACATTTCCAGTTAAAAATCTCCCTCCAGCTCTGCTTTTCCAGGTTTTATTCCTGTCTTTCCTCTTACAGGAGAAGGAGGAGAGGGGAGAAAACACCTGGGATGAGGAGAGGGGTGATCCTGCTCAGGTTTGACATTCCTGAATTAAAAGAATGTTCTGGAGAGAGAGAAAGGAAGGGATTTAGGGATATTCATGGAGGAGTCTGTGAGGGGAAAAGGAGGTGCAGAAACAGGGGCTGAAAAAACCTTTAAAGTGAGGGTGAGAAGGCCCTAAGGAAGATTTCCCAGAGAAATTTGGATGCCCCATCCTTGGAAGTGTCCAAGGCCAGCCTGGGATGGGGAAGGTCTCCCTACCCATGGAACAACATTTTCCTTAAGGTTCCTCCCAACCCAAACCCCTCTGGGACTCTGACCTGGCCAAGGAATGACCTGAGGGCAGGATGGGTGAGAAATGGACAGGAAGGAGCTGGGAATTCCCAAAAATCCCCATATCCAGCCAAACTGAGCCCCTCAGATTCCCTCTAAATTCCTGGGAATGTCCAAGGCCAGCATGGAGGGACAGTGGAAGGAGCAGGATTGTCCAACCCAAACCATTCTGGGATTATTCGACCTGAGGGGAGGATGGGTATGGAAAAGGGACAGGAAGGAGCTGGGAATTCCTACAAATCCCAAAATCCAGCCAAGATGAGCTCCCTCAGACTCCCCCTGAATCCCTGGGAGTGTCCAAGACAAGTGGAATGAGCAGGATGGTCCTCAATATCCCTCCAACCCAAACCATTCTGAGATTCGACCCGAGGGCAGGATGGATGATGGAAAAGGGACAGGAAGGAACTAGAATACCTAAAAATCCCAAAATTCAGCCAGACTCCCCCTGGATCCCTGGGAGTGTCCAAGGCCAGCTTGGAGGAACAGTGGAAGGAGCAGGATGGTCCTCAATGTCCCTCCAACCCAAACCATTCTGAGATTCGACCCAAGGGCAGGATGGGTGATGGAAAAGGGACAGGAAGGAGCTGGGAATTCCCAAAAATCCCCAAATCCAGCCAGGCAGAGCCCTCACCTCTGCAGACAGGCCGGTGGTCGCTCCAGGCCACAATGATGTCGCTGACTCTCTTGCAGGTGATGCTCTTGGAGCCCTGCAGGTCGTAGCCCTCGTTGCAGGAGAACTGGATGCTGGAGCCCAGCCTGGAGAGGGGACACAGGGGACATCAGCCTGCTCCTGCACCCCAGGATTTGGGGCCAGGGCCATCCCCTGGCCCTGCAGCCAGCAGGAAGGGAGGAGGGACCAGCTCTGCCTCCCTTCTGCTGTGTCTGCCCCAGATGCTGATGCCCAAATCCCAAATTTTAGTGACATTTCAGTGGGAATTTCATCCTGGGAGAGGACGTGCTCAGCGGACATTCTCATAAAGTGAAATAAAATTCTTTATCAACTGCTGAGAGTTCTGCTCTTTGTTCTGTGGTTTGGATTCTGAGCTTTGTTCACTGGGGTAACACAATCAGCAGCTGGGAATTCATCCCGTGGAATTTAGGGACTTTATGGGATTCCCTTTCTTCTGCCCTCTCTCCTTTGCTGGGTTTGAGGAGAATTTGACAGACTGGGATTTGATTGAGAGGCACTTTCCATGAGCAAAACAGCTCCTGGAATCCCAAATTTTAGTGACATTTCAGTGGGAATTTCACCCACAGCTCTGAGAGAGGACACATTCAGAATTCTCATAAAATGAAATAAAAATCTTTATCAACTGCTGAGAGTTCTGCTCTTTGTTCGGTGGTTTGGATTCTGAACTTTGTTCACTGGAGTAACACCATCAGCAGCTGGGAATTCATCCCATGGAATTTAGGGACTGTTGGGATTCCCTTTCCTCTGCTTGGACTTGAGGAGGATTTGACAGTCTGGGATTTGATTGAGAGACACTTTTCATGAGCAAAACAGCCCTGGGCAGCAGAATCAGATGAAATATTGATTCCCCATGGCCACCAACAGCTGGGGCATCCCTGCAAAGCAAAACTGGGAACTGGAAAGGAACAACAGCTCTGGTTTAAACTTCCTAAGCCCCAATTAGCTGGCACCACACAGGCTCAGTGACAAGGAACCTCAGCCACCTCAAATTCTCTAAGGGCAGGGCCATGCTGGGGTTTGAGCTAATTTGAAAAGTGATTTCTTTCTTTTGGCCGTTTCAGTTTTTCCAGGGGAGGGATGACAGCACAAAACCTGGATTGGGAAAGGATAAAAACACTCCAAGACATCTTTGTGGAACAGCACACACAGGAAGGGTTTTACACACGTGTTCCCCAAAACTGGGCAGGATTTTGGGAGGGGGACAAAGCAAACAGAGCCCCCCCACACCAGGAGCACACCCAGGAGCTCATGCACAGAACACACAGAAAATATTCTTACCTAAAATCGTTGCCTATCCTTTTACCTCTCTCGGGAATCCCAGGGTCTGGACACAAATTATGTCCCTGGGACACACCAACCTGAGTTACTACAAAGCAAAAAAACAGCACATACAGACACAGAATAGCAAAAGGAACAATTCTTTCAGCAGCTGGCTTGGTGGATGTGGCGAGAAAAATGGCAACTGGAAGCTCAGAAACCTCAATGTTTTATTCCACAAAAACAACAGCTTTGGAAACAAATATCCTGCTCAGTTTACACACCTGAGTGTTTTCTAGGAAATGCCAGCTAGGGACACAGTTTCCCCTCCATTCCACTACAGAAATACCTCTGGATAAGTTGATTTTTGGGTATTTTTTTCCATTCTGCTAAATGACACCAATCACAGAGCCTGTTTGTTATGATTAAAGCCCCACCTGCCACCCTCCAAGGTGACCTCAGAGCCCTCAAAAACCCAGCCCAGTGTGCCAGGGAAAGAAAACAACTCCATGGAAAGGCAGGGAGTGATCCCAGGAGGGAAAAACCAAGCACAGAACGAGAGGGAGAAAGGAGAGGGGGATGCAAGTCGAGGGTTTGAAAGCCAAGTCATTTAGTTGGAACATGGAGAAAAATTTATGGAGCAACCTGGATGCCAACAAACATGAAATCCATGGGGTGGTGGCCAGCACTGCAGAAAGCTCCCAGCTCCACCCTCCCCATTTCCAGCCCTCTCACGGCACAAAGGAGGGTTCAGGGTAGGGGAACCTGGGGGTCCCTCAGCCCTGGCACAATCCTGATTTCCAGGCTGAATTCCAGCACAGCAATAAAGGACAAAAGGGGGATTTTGCCACAGGAGCTCGATGGGATTTGGTTTTCTTCTCATCCAAACCTACAGCATGTTTCTCAGCCAAAAAAACTCCATTCCCTGATGGCTCATCGCACAGGATGACGCTCCTGGGGAAGCACAGCCCCAAAATTCCACATTCCACATGCTGAACCACTGAAAGAACCCCAATTTCCGTTCCACCTCTGCCCAGCACTGGATTACAGGGAAGAAAATCCCAATTTTATTCCAAGCATGGTGCCCCAAAGGAGGAGGGTGACACTGAGGTGACACCAGCCCCTTTCTCATGGCTCAGCAGCTGGAGCCCTGCAGGGGGAATGGGAGAATCCATGGGGAGAATCCACCCACACTGGACACACACAAAGCCAGGACCATCCAATATTTGGAATTAACCCCTGGTGCATCATCCCCAGCTACAGCTGTTCCTACAAGGAGGATGCTTCCCAATTTTGCTGATCCCAAAAATATTCCAGCTTCTCCTCAGCACTAACACTCTTCTGATGCCCTTTATGTTCTTTATAGGAATTTCCTTTTTAAGGCCCATTTTTCCTCCCTTCCCACCGTGCTGGAGCAGAGATGGGGCTGGGATTGTCCCCACAGGATGCTTTGGTGCTCACCTGTCTGTGTGGGAGGGCACAGAGCCATGGATTCATGGAAAACAACATGTGAGGTATTATTTTCCCATTTTCCATGTCCATAACCTGCCACAAACATATTTTATGAAAAATCCTTTCGTTAGGATCTTTTCTCCTGAGAAGCTGGGAAGCTTCAGCTTCTCCATGTTTTGCTGCTTTGGAATGTGATTTGGAGAACTGTTTACTCAGCATGTGAAATTGGTTTTATTTGATGACCAGTGACAGCCACCTGTGTCAAGGCTGTGAGCAGTCACAAGATTTTATTTCCTTTCCTTGAAATTTCCTTCCCTTCCTTCTGATGAAATATTTTCTTCTATTCTTTAGTATAGTTTTAATACATCATTTTCTTTTAATAAATATATATCATAAAATAATAAATCAGCCTCCTGAAACATGGAGTCAAGATTCTCATCTCTTCCCTCATCTTGGGATCCCTGTGAACACCACCACAATAACCCTTGGTAAGCTCAGTCAGCAGCAACCAAGCAGAATTTGACATCCCTACATTTTCTATAACTCCAAACTTTGCTTTGCCACTTTTCACCAGCCCAGAGGATTCCAAATCAGGAATCAGGAATGAATTCAGTGAAGGAAGGGAGAGCGCATGGATTCTACTCCCAGCTTCTGACAGGAAAAGTTTGGCTGAACGGAGTCCCCAGGTGCCACCACCATCCTTGGGTTCCTTCCCTGCACCCAGAGGTGATGCCTGTGCACAAGCAGCTCCAAAAAAAGGAAAATTCACCTCAGGATGAGGGACCCAATGAGAGTTTTATGTCCCAAAGCCGTGTAGGAGTGAAAGACAGTGCTCAAATTCTTGATTTTCCTCTGTAAAAACCTCCCTGACCACACACACACCTGTAACAACCACACACACAAAGCCAAGACCACCCAATATTTGGAATTAACCACCTGGGAACTCTTCCTCAAAGGAAAAATCCAATTCCCACAGCAAATTCCTCCTCCCATGGTCAAATCCCCCTCAGATCACCCCTTTTGTACCCCCAGAGTGGGCACTGCTGCCACTCCCAGTGATTATTTCCCATATCAGATAAAAATGGAGCCTGGAATTCAAAATTTTGGGAAGAAACAATCCCAGACCCCAGGAAAACAAAGAGAAACAATCCCAGATCCCCAGAAAAACCAAGGCCCCAGAGGAGAGTTTGTCACCCCCAATGCTGAGGCCCAAACCCAGCTCATGTCTCATTAGTGGAGATTCACTAACACCTAAAAACACGAACAGATAAAGCAGAGAACAGGGAAGATAAAGCTGAGGGAAGATATCTCCATATCCTGGGAGTTGGGGAATTTCTCTTTTAAAGAAAGTGAAAGAAAAGGAGGAGATGAATGAGATGCTAATTTACAGAAATTTTTGTTCTCTAGCTTTTGTTTTGAGCACACACACACACAAATAGAGGAGCCCGAAGGTTACAAAATGGATTTGTCATGCTGAGAATTTGCTGTGTTCACCTTCCCAAAGTTTCACCTGGGCTGGGCCATTCCCAAATAAACCCCTCAAGATTACTAGAAAAAAATTGTGATGAACTGCTCAATGTCTGCATTAGAAACTCAGGAATTCTCTCCCCCAACCATGGGATTGGTTTTCCATCCCCTCATCCTCCTGATTTTTTTCAATTTCTCCCTCCTCATGAATTCAGTGACAGCCAGTTCTGATTGTTCAGTTTGCCACTGTTAAAATCCTCTTTAATTTTATTTCTCATAATAAAAAAAACTTCACTGACAGATTCCCAAGGGACAATTTCTCACTGAATTTCAGAACTACAAAATAAAAGCAGCACCTAAAAAATAAACAATTTGACAAAGCCCCAGCATTTCTCAGCATGAGGAATTCAGTGAAAGGAGATGATGGGAAAGACTCCAGCAGGAATTAGATGGTTTAAAGGGTTAATCTGAGTGGTCACACCAGGGTAATTCCATGCAAACTTCTGGGAAAGATCCCAAAAACCAGACCTGAGAGCTTGGAGCTGATTTAGGGGTGCAGGGCTCACCCCAACGAGGTCCTGCTGCATTTCCAACCCCCAAAGTTCCTTCAGCACCCAAAAAACCAAGGATGAAGTGATTCCAGAACCTCAGTGACACCAACCCAGACACTGAATGCCCCCAAATTTAACAACACCAAGAGTGAAAAGGTCACAGCCAGGTCCTGACACTGGGAAAATCCAATCCCAGCTGGGAATGTTCCACCAGGACAGCTCCAAACCCCAATTTCCCAGCTGGGAGTGTTCTACCATGAGAGCTCCAAACCCCAGCTTATTTCCCAGCTGGGAATGTTCCAGAACAGCTCAGAAGATGAAGCTTCACAAGCACTCCCAAAAGTGCAGAATTCCCAGAGCATCTCCAGGCTGTCCCACCCAAGATCCAGGTGGTTCCTGTGTCCCACAGACACCTCCCCAAAATCCAGAAATTCCTACACACTTGAGACCTAAAAACTGCTCAACCCACCCCAAAAATGACTTTGCAAAGGAGATTTTGACCGAGCTGGACACACACAGAATTTCCAGTCCTTCATCCACAAGGCCCCAGGTGGCTCCTTGTCCCACAGACACCTCCCCAAAATCCAGAAATTCCCACAGACTTGGCTAAGACCTAAAAAATGCTCAATCCACCCCAAAAAATAACTTTGCAAAGGAGATTTTGACCCAGCTGCACACACACAGAAGTTGCAGTCCTTCACCCAAGTCCTTCCAGTCCTTCACCCACAAGGCCTCAGAATGCTCCTTGTCCCACAGACACCTCCCCAAAATCCAGAAATTCCTATACACTTGAGACCTAGAAACTGCTCAACCCACCCCAAAAATGACTTTGCAAAGAGGATTTTGACCAAGCTAAACATGCACAGAACTTCCAGTCCTTCACCCAGGGCCTCTCCAGGTGGGCCTCACCCAAACACCACACAACCCACTTGGATGCTGTTTTTTAAACCCAAACCACCACAATTCCCCCACTGTGGGAACTGGAATATCCACACTTACACTCTGCTTTCAGTGCCAGAAACAACCTCCAAAACATGGCTTAAAATCTCAAACTATTTCTTCTACCTAATTTATTTGTCTCTCAGTATTATCTCCCCTCCAGAAGTGATTAAAGCAAGATTTCCAAATAATTTCACTGATGGTGAGCAGTACAAGGCACTTAATTATGATTTAAAACAAACACAATCCACTATAACTGAGCCCAAGAAGCACTTCCCCACAGAATATTGAATTTTTATGGATTTTTTCCCTGCAATAACACAAGCAGCTGTTACATCACTACATTTTCACACAAAACACACCAGGTTTAATCTGACCAGGCAATCCCAAACCCAAAAACCTGCAGGATTTAAGAGTGGATCCTTCCAGGGAGGATTTTAGGCCAAGTTTTAGCAAACAGCACTTGAAAATAAAATATTGCTGGTAGGAATAATCAAAAATAAAACAGGGACTTGAAGGCTGGATTTGATCTTTTCCAGCCTTTAGGATTTTGTGGCAGAGCTTTAAGTGATACCAAGAGACACAAAAATTCCTGAATTTCTGGTATTTGAGCCAGAGCAACTGGAAATTGCTCTGGAATAGGAAATTTCTTTGGAATTATCTGTGATGCAAACTCAGCTCGCGGAGTTTTGGGAGCACAGAGGGGCTCAGCCAACCCTGCAAATCCAGCAGGGAGCAGAACAGATGAGGACTGCAAAAAATAAAAATAAAAATAAAATAAAAACCTGATTTTCCTGGTGCCATCTCCTAGGGAATCAGCACTTCTGCAGCTGGGAATTCCCTGTGGGAGCAGAAGGCTCCAAAATAAGGACAAAATAAGAAAAATCCAGAGCTGATGGAGAGCAGGGCATGGAGAAGGAGCTGGAGGGTGACAAGGACCATGGAATGGGGCCGCCATCCCCATCTCCATTATTCCAGCTCAACAACTTCCAGCCTGAGCTGCCCTCAAGATCTGAGCTCCCATCTGGCAGCTCTGAGCCCCTTGGGATGGGATAAACCAGGCAAAGGGAATGAATTCCTATTTTTCCTCCTCAGAAGTGCAGGATCTGCAGGAAAGGGAATGCAGCTGCTGTGTCCTCTTCAACTCAGTGCATTAAAAATGAGTAAAACTGCTCCAAAGGCCATTCCCAGGAAGGAGAAATGGGAATTTTGTGTATTGTTAACACCACAATGCTTCATTAAATCAATGATTTCACTCCTTTGCCCAAAATTCCCCAAAATCCAGGGCAAAAATCCCCCCACTCCAAATTCCCCTGTGTCTCCACACCCAGCCAGGGGAATTTTCCAACTCAGTAAAGGGCACTGGGACGTTTATTCCAATAAATTCTTCCTGGCAAGGAATGTATCACCCAGCCAGGACTCCATTTTAAAGGATAATTCCCTTTAAAATTGAATTATTTTCCCCTGAACACACCCCAAGTGTTTTCTGCTCTGGAGATTTTGGGTTGTTTTTTACCTTTTTGGGCTTTGCTCCCAAAAAAACAGAGCCTAAAAATTCTCCTGGGAGCTGGGAGGGAAACTCTCCTTCCAGAGCCACGATTCTGATCCAGTCCATGCATTTTTCTGAATTTTGTATGCAAGATCCACCAGTTCTGCTCCAGTCCATGCAATTTTCTGAATTTTTTATGTAAAATCCACCAATTCTGATCCAGTCCCTGCATTTTTCTGAATTTTGTATGCAAAATCCACCAATTCTGCTCTAGTCCATGCATTTTTCTGAATTTTGTATGACAAATCCACCCAGCTGAGCTGTGCAAATGCTCCTCTCTGATGAGGGTAATGGGCTGTGCAACAAAATGAGTAATTCCAGCTTCTCCCCTAAAATCCATTTGGAAAAATGCTCCATCCTGCTCCCATTTGAATCCACATAAAATATTAACTCCCAGGCAGATCCCTCCTGTTTCATTTTAGAAAGAGCCCAAGATTCAGGGACAAAAACCACAGGTTTTGCTCCTGATTTGGGAAGAACCTGATGGGAAACTGAAATATTTCCCACCTGCCTGAGGGAGGCACAGCAGTGACCCCAATGTTCTGCTCCTGACACACCAAGCACTACACTTGAAAAATCAGCACTACAACCTGAAAAATCAGCACTGCAACCTGAAAAATCAGCACTGCAAACCCAGAATTATGATTTTTCTGCAGGGAAAATGAAATAAAACTCAAATAGAAAAAGGAAGACGATGTGACTGCCTCTGTAAATTTTCTAATATTTTGTTTTTAATGTTGCTCCTTATCCCTGCTCCTTATTTACAGCAATAGCACCGATCCCAACCCCAAATTTCTTAGTTTTTCCCACTAAAAAGAGCCTAAAACCACAACCCTGGAGCACAGAATCCACCAAACGCAGAAAATCCAAGCCTTGCGCCCTTCCAGGAGTTAGTAAATGCTTGTGACCAGAGCACTGGGAGGAGGGAAGTGATGCAGAAATGCAGAGGGAAGAGGGAAAAGCACCCAAACTTTTCAGAGTGGCGAAGTTTTAGAGATTACTGGAAAGTCCAATGAAATGTTCCAGGAGATTGTTATCAAAAAAGACAGTGAGGAAGAGCCAGAAAAACTTACACACTGATGTCTTCTGGTTGTTGTCCTTGCTGGGCATGAGTTTCACCCCTCTGGACTTGAGCTCCATCTGCTTCTTGACTGTAGGGGTGGGAAACAAAGGAAAAAAAAGAGGGAAAGGTTGAGCTGAGCTTCAGGGATTGTCAAGTTTTTATTTTAAAAATAAAAATGTGAATCACCCACATCCTGCATCCTTCCCTTTGGGATCAGCTTGTCCTGACTGCTCAAAACCAGCAGGGGTTTGTTTTTCCATGTTAGGGGTTTGGAGAGGGATTTGTTTTCCATGTTAGGGCTTTGGAGAGGTTTAATTTCAAAATAAAAATGGGGTCCAACCCCTCTGTAACCCACTAAAAATGGGAGACAAGCAAAAGGGAAGCTCTGAGGAGCTTCAGGATGCTGAGAGGAAAATGCTGAGCTGGTTTCCCCCAATTTTTCTGGAATTTATCCCATGAACCCATTACACAGCAGAGCCATTCCAGGGGAGCACTCAGAACCTAAAAACTGCAGAGCTGGTGTGAACAAACAGCAGGAAAATAAAATTAAACACCATTATTGGCTAAGGGAAATATTATCTTGGAGCCCCACACCTGGGGGACTCCTCCCCAAGTGCGACCATTCCCTCCCTGATCCAAAATTCCACCAGAAGAGGGGAAAGACCAGGAAAGGGAACAAGAATTCATCCATCTCCAAGGGCCCCATCCTTTTTCTCACACCAGGGAGCAGCAATTTGTTTTCCTGCTCTGGATTTGGCGGCTGCTTCCTCCACCCCCAGGGTTTGACAGAAACCCCACCTGGCAGAACCATCTGGGAGCAGCACAAACACCTGGATTTGGGATTATTGCAGCTTCCAGAGGCAGGAGTTGGGATAAAACAGCCTCTGCTGTGAGGAGCTGGGATAAAAGAGCAGGAATTGGGATAACCCAACAGGAATTGGGGTAATTCCAACAGGAATTGGGGTAATTCCAATAGGAATTGGGATAACCCAATAGGAATTGGGGTAATTCCAACAGGAATTGGGGGTAACGCAATAGGAATTGGGGTAATTCCCACAGGAATTGGGAAAACCCAGCCTTCATTGCAGGATTTGGGATAACCCAATAGGAATTGGGATAATTCCATCAGGAATTGGGATAACTCAACACTCACTGCAGGAATAGGGATAACCCAACAGGAACTGGGGTAATTCCAAGAGGAATTGGGATAATTCCAACAGGAACTGGGATAACCCAGCCCTTCCTGCAGGAACTGGGATAACCTAACAAGAACTGGGATAATTCCAACAGGAACTGGGATAACCCAACAGGAATGGGAATAACCCAGCCCTCACTGCAGGAATTGGGATTAAAAAGTCTCCACTGCGGGATTTGGGATAACCCAACAGGAACTGGGATAATTCCAACAGGAATTGGGATAACCCAGCCCTCACTGCAGGAATTGGGATAACCCATCAGGAACTGGGATATTCCAACAGAAACTGGGATAATTCCAACAGGAATTGGGATAACTCAGCCCTCACTGCAGGAATTGGGATAAAACAGCCTCCACTGCAGGAATTGGGATAACCCAACAGGAATTGGGGTAACCCAGCCCTCACTGTGAGAAACTGGGATAAAAGAGCCCCCACTGCAGGATTTGGGATAAAAGAGCCTTCACTGTGAGGATTTGGGAAAACCCAACAGGAATTGGGATTACTCAGCGTCCAAATCATTTTCTGGGAGCCCTTTCCTGACGAGCCAGCCCTTATCCTTGGAGAAACCCACTTCAAACCCTTCTTCCTCGTGTTCTTCATCTTGTCAGGCTTTCATCCCTAAATTAGCACATTCCTAAGACAAAGCTGTCAAGAAGAATTACCCATGTAACTAAAGAGGGGTTTTTTAATCGTGCTGAGGTTTTTTTTGGGCTTAAAAAGAACCTGTTTGGAACAGCTGCTGCAGGAGGCTCAGACAGGAGGAGGCTCCTTGAAGCTCACCTGAGGTGCTGCTTTGGGTGCAGCTTTTCACTCATCATTTCCTCACAGCTTTTGGCTTTCTCTTTAAATAAAGCAGCAAGAACTTCAAAAAAATTTTTAGCTGGAAAATATTCATGAGGAACAGCTGCTGCTGCTGCTCCTGTCTTCCTCAGCAGCTTCAATCTGTTCAGGGCAGCTGTCTTTTTTTATTAATTTAAGAAGGGAAAACTAATTAACAGCAGGCTGCTGTCAAAGCAAATCGAACTCTTTGTTTCTTTTTGCTCCAAATCCACCTGCAAGTGCAGCAGGAGGAAGAAAAAGCAGCAGGGTTTGGGATGCCCCAAAGGTCCCACGTGGATGGGAATCACAGGAGATTTCCAGCCTGATCTCAAGGTTTTTAATAAATGTGATATCAATGGATCAAAAAAAAAAAAAAAAAAAAGGATTGGGGCTGCTAAAACTCCCATTTTTGGGGTAAAAATCTATTTCTGCTTCAGATAAAATAGTGACAGACATTCCTGTAGTGATTTTCCAGCTTTTTCCAAGCCAACACAGGGATACCCCAAAATTCCCTCCCACGCAATAAAATCCAGGCAATTCCAAGTTTCCAAGGCTGAATTTGGATTTTGGTTTGAATTTTCCAAGGATGTGGGTTGGGACCCTGCAGCCTCCAAGTCTCTGCTCTGTGGCTGTGCTTGGGGGTACGAGCAGCTTTACAAAATAATCCATATTTTGGTATTCTCCACATCCTGCCCCCAGGGAATGTTCCCAACTCTCCACACAAACAAAAGCTCAGCTCGGATGATTTGTGCCCCACAAAGGGAATTTAGAGGCCAAGAAAAGCTTCCCAAGCTTTGGTGAAGCCCACCAGAGCTGATGGCGGCACCATGGATGGGATGAGAAATCCTGGGGAACTCCTCCATGAGGACACAGCAACCTGCAGGGATTTCCCCAGTGCTGAACATCCCAAATCCAGGAGAAGGTGCCAGAGGGTGCAATCAGAGGAATTTTAAGGTCTCTTCCAACCCAAACCACTCCAGGATTCTCTGGCATGGGGGAATTCAAAATTAGGATACAGCCAGGCTTGGAAATTTTTCAGGGACACATTTCTAACCAAGGTTCTCCCAGAGCCATCCCTGCCAGATCCCATCCAACAAACATCCCCCTCCAACCCTGTTCCTGATGGAAAACCTGGCTCCCAAACCCCTCAGCAATGGCAACAAGACACTCAACACTGAGCAGCAATCCCAAAATTCAGAGCCTGAGCTGCATCCCCAGGAAACATCTCCTCCCCTAATTGCACCGTGTCCCTTTCCAGGAGAATTGATAAAGATAAATTGGTGAAGATAAATTGATAAAGAGGGATCACTGCATCCTCTCCTCCTCATCCTTCATTTCGGAGCCCTAATGATGGAAGTCAGACTTTACAAATGACTCCATTTAGATCAGAACCAGGCACAGCAAAGCACCACTTGTTTCGTGCTTTTTAAAAAAAAATTAAACAAATAAGAACAATTCTCCCACTCCCTGCCCTCAAAAATCCTGTATTTGAAAATCTACTTTGTTTGTAAATTGGAATGTGGAGCAGTACTACAAAGGACTGTGTCAGGATAATTGGATGAACAGAAACTCCTGTTTTCTGGAGGCTTTTGCTGCTCACACACATCCAACAGATCTAATGGAATACTCAGCATCCTGTCAGATTTGAGAGATGACATTACAAAGCTCTGCCAGCATGGCAGGCAGGCCGGGCTGTTCCTTTCAAACCACTTCATGTTGCTCTAAATGAGGATTTAAGCAGACATTTATTTATTTTTAATTTGGAAAACAGTGTTTCAGCAACAGCAACAGGAAAAAAAAAAACTATTCCATGAAGCTCTGCTCTCCTTGTTGGGGGAATTGCTGTTAAATCCAAATCCTGCCTGGATCTCTCCCTCCTGCTGGGATGGTTCAGCAGCAGGATGCTCACAGGGGTTCTTGGAGGTGAAGAGAAACCCCCTCAAATGAAACTCTTTGGAAAAATCCCTCTTCTGGCAGCCTGAGCAATGGATTTTGGGAATCAGAGCCTGCACAAGCACTGGGATTATCCAGAATTGCACTGGAGACTCCACAGGTCACATGGAAGGAGGCAAAAATCCCTCTGGAACCCAAGGGTGTGATCCAGGGTGAGGAGGGGGAGATCCAAGATGGGAAATGGAAGATCCAAGATGAGGAGGGGAAAGATCCAAGATGAAAAGGAGAAGATGCAAAATGAGAAATGGAAGATCAGGATGATGAATGGAAGATCAGGATAAAGAGTGGAAGATCCAAGATGAGGAATGGAAGATCAGGATGAAGAGGGGAAGATCCAAGATAAGCAGTAGGACATCCAAGAAATGAAATAGAAGATCCAAGGTGAGGAATGGAAGATCCAACATGAAAAGGGGAAGATTGAAAATTAGGGGAAGATCAAAAACAAGGAGGGGAAGATCTAAAATGAGGAGTGGGAGATTCAAGATAAAGAGTAGAACATCCAAGATGAGAAATAGAAAATCCAAGACAAGCAGTGGGAGATCCAGGATAAAGAGTAGAAGATCCAAGATGAGCAGTGAGAGATAAGGATGAAGAGGGGAAGATCCAGGATAATGAGTAGAAGATCCAAGATGAGAAATGGAAGATCCAAGATGAGCAGTGGGAGATCCAGGACAAAGAGGGACGAAGATCTGTCCAAACTCAAGCCAAACTGATCCATCCATGGGTAGAACCACAGATCTACCCATGGACAGATCTGTAGACCAAAGCCATGGATGGGGCTGGGAGCACCCTGGGACATTGGGAGGTCGCTGCCCACGGCAGGGGTGGAACTGGGTGGGATTTAAACCCATTCCAAACCATTCCAAGACTCCATGACTCCCTCACCAAGCCATTTAGGTGTCTCTGGCGAGCAGCAGGGAGCTCCCCAGCCCCTCCCTGAAGGAGGCAGCTCTGTCCTGTGCAGGGCTGGAGCTCATCCCATTTATCTTCCTCCTGCGGGGAAGGGAAGCGGCCGGGGCGGGGAGATCGATAAAAGCTGCAATTATGTGTTGGTACCAATCAGCTCCAGAGCAATTAGGGAGCCAAGTTCTGCCATAAAACATGTGCAGAGAGGGGCAGCAGCCAGGGCAGCATTCCCATCTCTCCAATTCCAGCCTTTGCAGCTTTCCCAAAACCTTCTGATTTTATAAATTCCCACCCAGCTCCTCTGATGGGGGGGACACTGAGGTGCTGCCACCTCACCTGATTAAAAACTTGTAGATTATTTTCTTCCACCTTTTTGAGGAGACAGGATGGGGAGGAAAATAAAAAATAATTTTTAAGAATAATTCTCTGCACACATTTCTCCCAGTCCCTTTGACTTCCTTACATGGGGAATGGGGAAAAAACATTTGCAAAAATCAAGATTCACCTTAATGAAAGGGAAAAGGGAAATATTTAACTCTCCCAGGAAGGGAACAAAATGAATTTGCTGTGTTCAACAACAAAAACAAAAACAAAAACCCTCTCCACAGCCTGATTGCATCTAACCTTGCTTTTACATTCCTAAAGTGATTTCCAAATGAGGGCACGGATTAGGGAGAGCAGAGGGGGAACAGACAGGGAAGGTGTTCTGCAAAACTCGGGATCAATTTAAACAAGCTGGAAGGGAAATTGTTTTCTTATAGATTATCAGCAAAGCCAGACCCCGTCCCAGAGGACCCAGGGGGTTCATAAATGATGTACAGACACGTCTTTGGAAAACAGACAGCAAATTAGAGCCACCCTAAAGCCTCCCCTTGCTTCTCCTGGCTGATCCTGATTCAGCTCTCCTGATGAAAAATGCATTTCAGCTGCTGTGCTTGCTGTGGAATTACATGGCCTGTTTTGTAGGGATTTATCGCCACTGAAATATTTATGGCCAGGCCAGGTTGTGGAAAGGGTTACAGGGAGGTTTTTAAAGTCTCAGCATCTCCTGTCCTGCAGATCCCACTGCCTGCAGACACCTTCCCTTCATCCCTGGGAATCTTCACTGCTTGGCTGCTTGTTTTGCTGGGTTTTTAAGCATTGAAAGGCAGAAAGAAGCTGCCAAACTCCACAAAAACAGTGGGAAAACGAGAGCAGGTCCCTCTGGCAGCTGGGCTGAGGTCCTGTCCTGATTCCAGCTCAGAATGGGGAGTTCAGTTCATTTTCCAACACTCCATCCCCTCTGCACATGAGATGAGAACCCCCTGACATTTCTCTGAGCAGGGGAATGGGGACATTCACCCTGACTTTGCTGTGCAGGGAAAGGCTGACAAAGACAGGTGCTTTGGTGGAAGCTGCAATCCTGACAGCCATGGAAAAGCCATCCACAGGGAAGCTGCTTTTTCCAGACATTTATGCTGCACAGCAACAACAAAAGGGTTTTTTTTTCCTTGTTTAAAGTCCTTTTTTCCTTGTTTTTTCTTGCAGTTTAAAGTGATTTACAGGTTCAAGGAAAGCAGGGAAGTTAAATAACGATGTGGTTCATTTGTTGAGGCCATGACAGCCCTGCTAAGAGCACCCAAACGAGGCAGCTCTGTGGATTTATCCAAGGAAAAGAAAATCCTCTCCCTTCTCCCTGACTCCTCTCCAGAGCTTTTTCCCAGCAAAGGCTTCTTGAGAACAAACCTGCGGAGCTCCCTGAGGGGACTCAAACCATTCCTGCTTCTTCCCAACTTCATTCCCCCTCTCATGGATCCTGCACCCACAACCTCCTTCAAAAACACCACAGGAGTGGTGAGAACACCTCCAAGGAATCCACTCAATCCATTCTGGTCCCACCAGGAGCAGAATCTTCACTGCCAAAGGATCTCCTGTCCCTCAACAGCACCTGAACATCCCCATCCTGAAATCTTTATCCCAATCCTGAATTCTGCCCTGTGAAGGTGAGGAGGGGCTGAGATGGATTTCCTAGAGAAGCTCCTGAATCCCTGGGAATGTCCAAGGCCATGAGGGGACCTGGAGAACCCTGGGACAGTGGACGTGTCAGTGGATAGGCTTTAAGGTCACTCCCAACCCAAACCAGGCTGGGTTTTTCTATGAACACCACACTTTGGGGAATTCCAGCTGGAAAATAACAGCAGCAGGACCATGCAGGGAGGCAGCTGGGGATTCCTGGCTGGGGTTACTCTAAAATGGAGGCTGAGGGTCGTTGTTGGCTTGTTTGTGGTGTTGGAGCTGGTGTGTGCCCCTTACCTCAAGGGGCAATTCAGGTTGTTTAGGGGGTAGGAAGAAGTTTAGCCTAAAATCAGCTTTGGGAGCTGGAAAAGAAGATTTGAGCCCTTTCTTCCTGAGATGGGGGGGGTAACCTCTAAGAAGGGTTTATGTTGCCTCCTTATCACAGGGGCTCCATGCTGTTGCTTCCTATCACAAAGGTTCCATACCTGCTTGGTGTTTCTCATGGACATCTCCTCAGAGCTCCTCTGTGACTCTTTCTCCTTCCCACAACAGACAACTAACCCCAATTCCCTTCTCAACCACCCACCCACTCTTTTATAGCACTCTTCTCCTCATTAGTTACAGCTGTGGCCTGTTAAAGTCGGGCCTGTTCCTAATCTTTGCTAATTAGGCCCAGCTGCAACTCCTTAGGGGCAAGATCACTTTCTACACCATCTTTATTTTCTTATATTCTTACAGCTTTAGTCTTCAATCTTTGGCTTAAAAGACCCATGTTCTTTCTACACCATCTTTATTTTCTTATATTCTATCCCCTTACAGCTCTAGTCTTCAATCTTTGGCTTACAAGACCAATGTTTTTATAAACCATTAGAGTTAATTAGAGTTGGAGTCGTTTTCTAGGGTGGCCACAAGGGGAAATAAAACCAGAATGGTTGTGAAATGGGTGAATGAGGAAATCAAACTGGAATGATTTGTGAAATTGAGGAATGAGGAAATCAAACTGGAATGATTGTGGAATAGGTGAAAGAGGCTGGCTGGGGTGGGTGAGGCCAGGCCAGGGCATTTATTTCTCCCTCCTTACCTTGGTACTGGGCACTGAAGCCCTTCTGCCTGTGGTTGCCATCAGAGGTGAAGTGCAGCCTCAGCCAATTTTTGCTGCTGATCACAGGGGCAGGCAAATTCATCCCAGTGAACCTGCAAGAGAGCAAAGCAGCACAGCCACGTCAGGACCACGTCAGGACACCCCAAATCCCCCTCTCCAGGCCAATCATCCTCCCCCAGGACTTTGGGAACTCCTCTGTGGGTACCACACAGCCAAGGAGAGCCCCCTCCCCACTCCAGGGCTACCTCCAGCCCCATATTCCTGATGGGAATCCCTGCTGAGGGCTCCATGTTTGTCATTACAGAGGTTCCCAGTCCTTTTTCCTAAGGCACAGAACATTCCCAAGCTCATCTCTTCACATTTGGTTAACCCCACTCCAAAATCTTGTTTATTTTAACTCAGGAAGGGAAAGGATGGCAAGAACATCCTTATTTTTTATTTTATTTATGACCAATCCCAACCTGAGGAAGATTCCAGCCAGGATCACAAATGAACAACTCCAGAACCCAGCAGCAGCCCTTCATATTTGTTCATAATTTTATTTCCTTTTAAAACATGATGTTGTTTGCTTCATTTTTAACTCCAGATCACAATTCCTGGCTGAGTTTTGTCCCAAACCAAGTTTTAGACTGGAACAACACTTCAGACTGAGACTGAGGTCCACAATGGTGACATTCACCATGGTGAGGACACCAATGCTCTCTGTGTTCCTGCTAATGAAAGTTAATCATTTTAATCCCTAATTATCACTTATTTAAAAATTAGTGCAATTTCAACACCCATTATTGGCATTCCAACACCTTTCAGTGGCATCCAACACCTTTTATTGCCATTTCAACACCCCATTTTTACCATTCCAACATTCTTTTTTGACATCCCAACACCCCCTGCTTTTTTAACAAAGGCAAAAGGATCCTGGGAATCTGTTCCATCCGGAAGATATTTCAGATTTGATTATTAAACATTATTTAGCAGCAGACCTGGCAGCCCATGGAGCACCTGAAGAGCCCTTCAGCCACCCAGCCCATCCAGAGGTGACCTCAGGCTGGAATTGGCAGCGTTAATTAATGGCATCCCTGCGCTCCCAGTCCCTTAATGAGCTGGCAGGGTGATTAGTGCATAACTAAAGCATCTCTGCCACCTACAGTACAATCCAAACCCTGGATTATCCCGTGCCTGGATCCTGAAGTGCTCTGGGATGATTTAAAACTGGGATTTAAGGTTGTTCCCAATCATTTCTCCATGGATTCTCTCCATCCCTGTTCCCAGCTCTTTCAGGAGGATGAGGTGGAGCAGAAATGGATCCTCTGTGGCTTTTTGCCATCCTTGGGGAACTCCAAGGCAGCTGAACCCACTGAATTGGAAACTTTCTCAAAGATTGAGTTCAAACAAACAGATTTGGGGCTGAGATCAAACAAGGGATGCCCCAAACCCAGATTTGGGGCTGAGATCAAACATGGGATGCCCCAAACCCATCCTGAGTAAGTTCTCCTGGCTGGTTTTTATGACAACACCCTTAAATTCAATGTTTTCACCCCTCAAGGGCCATTTCATTGTTTATTCTGCAGCAGCAAACCCCTCAGGAATAATCTTTAGCTATGCAGAGCCAAATTTCCCTTTCACAGCTGTAATTCAAGTGCCTGAGATAAAAACCAGACAAGAATGAAGCAAAGCTGCCTGAATGAGGCTCAACTTCTCCTGTCCCACATCCCTGGATTTGGTTTTGATCAGCACATCCTTGAAGGGTGGATTCATCCCAAACCTGAGATGTTTTTCCCTTGTGTGACACCAAATCCTCCACATTAAACAAAATTCCTTAATTCAAAACAAGGAGGGGTTAATGCCATCAAAACTCTTTTTGAAGAAAAAGCACTGAAGTGAGGCCTTCTCAACTCTTTTTTATTTCTTTCCTTGCTCTCTCACTTCCCACTGAATCCAGGCATGAAATATTTATCCCTTTCCCTCCCCTGGCACAATTAGTATGGCTGTACATGGCTGGCACTGATTACTCTGCATTCACGTCCCATTATCTATTTACAATCCCAATTCCTGCTTTAATTTGTTTCCACGCAGAGAGGAAGAAAAGGAAGGGGGAAAAAAAATCAATAAAGTGTCACAAAGTGAGGCAGAAGCACTGGAGCAGCAGGAGGAGATGTTTGCACACAGATTTGGAGCACCCTGAAATTCGATTATCAGCAATTTGGCCATTAGTTCTTCTTAAATGGACCCAAATACGATGAGAATTCCTGGTGTGGATGCTGCAAACCCCGTGCAGGAGTCAAAGGCACGACTGAAGGCAGGAATTCCATCTCAAATCCTGCTATTTCAGGTGAAATATCTTGGGTCTGCTTTGCAATTCTTACTGTATCATTAATTGTTCAATCTGTACTTAGATAACCTGCACTCCTTTAAAGGTATTTGTCCTTGCAGGGAAATCTTCAGCTGACTTATGTCCTCGGCCAAGCTGCCTGTTCAGGGAACAGATGGGAAAAAGGAGGCTAAATTTACCATTTTGTTTGCAGCACAGTATGACCTATTCACAAGATTTTTCTTTTAATGTGTTAGTTGTGGAAATCTGTTAATTTGATATTTAAATTATTTTCAAGTGGAAGCCTCATTTATGGTGTTACCTCAAGAGGGTGACTAAAATCTGTGGGCTTGAACAGGTACAGTGTGTAGACCATGTGGCTCTCATTTCCTTCCTTTTCCAGTTGTATGAAACACTTTGCTTCAGAAAGCATGAACTTGAACTTAGCCATGTGGAAGAATGCCTGGAATGACTTAGCCCACACTGATTTGAGGAACTGGAAGGTGCTGCCTCATGCACCTATGGAACACGTAGCTCTGTTGCCACGAGGTGATGTGTGTTGGGAGTTAACACCAGGGATGTGAATGTGCAGGAAGACAACTGTGCCATTTCTGCTTTCAGCCTTCTGTCCGCCTGGTCTCTCTGCTAGAGATCATGCACTAGACAGGCTTCGGTAGTAACAGAGATCCAGTAGGAACTCACAGTCCATGGCAATCTGTGGTGCCATCAGGGGATTTCTGTCATGCCTTCACCATCTCTTCTGGTTCTTCCTTCAGAGTTTCTCTGAGGATAGTCTGCAGTAATATATTATGTATGTAGGTTGTGCCAGGGCAGTATTTTGCAAGCAGCTGGAAGATAATTTGCCTGCCCCAAGCATAGGAAGGGCTTTTCCCTTACATCAGTCAGACAAGGTTTTGGTCTGTCAGTTCTGAAGTCAGGAATAGAGCTCACATGCTACTGGTGCCTTAATGACAAGGAGAGCAGAGCCTGTGTCACAGAGCTGCTCCTCCTTTGCAGAGGACAGGAATGCTTTCATGTCCAACATACCCCTTTGCTAGGCAGCCAGGATGCCATCAACATATTCACTAGCCTGCTACAACTTGTGCTCGTGCAAGGATGGACTGGGACAAGATTTTTCCCAGGAAACCATTCCAGTGTCACATACACAGTTTAAAGAGCTGCTGAGTAGCTGTGGTGCACGTGCAACAGCACCAGGTGTGCTGTTTTGCTTCTTCTTAGTTTAAAACACAAGAGGTTCCTGCATTTCTTTTCAATCCTGATTTGTGGTAATTTGGGAGGCACAGCTTTAATAATCTCCAGAGTGCTTTTTATCATTACCCTCTCTTCTGTCCAGATACGAAGCAGATTGGAAAGGGTGAAGACTTATCAGAACAACTCCCAGACACGTCAATTGGAGGCTGCCTGACTAAATTCTCATAACACACCCTGAAAATGCAGCTCGTGCCATCTGCAAGGACAGTTTCGGAGAGAGCAGATCGCAGCTGCTGGGTGAGAGAGGCAGCAATAGGTACTGCCAGCTCAGTAGTTCAGCTTATAGGCTCTTACACCTTCCTGAGACTTGCACAAATGGAGCAGTGCTGGCACTGCAATGAGGTCACTGCTTTGCCAGTGTTTACCCCATTGGGCCAAAGCAGGATTAAATGAGACAGATCTCTGCAGGACACTGCAAGTGTCATTGGGAAGCTGCTGTGGAGCTGGTAGGCTTAAAACACTGGTGACAAGATGTGGCTGTACCTCAGGCAACATTGGCTTTTGAATGGCAGTGTCAGAGGTGATACAGCAAGGAGGTGCATGCAAAAAATCCTTTCAAAGGTTGAAGCTGAATTTCTGGCATGCAAATGGAAATGCTGATTATTCCTTACTGATCTTAGATGCTGTCATGTCAAATCCACTTGCTTAGTGTCACTTCATAGCCACCCCTGGGACACTCCCTGAATTGTTGATAGGATTTAAGCACAGCACAAGAAGTTAAGTAGGAAACTTTGCTCAGTCTTTAGGGTACAGGCTGGAGACTGCTGAATTGGGGGGGGTGTTTGGCAGAGCTCATGGTAACTACTCCCTGTTGGAGGTAAGAAGTACCAAGATCTTTCTATAGAAGCTCTAGGAGAAGAAGGGAGAAGAAAGAGGGGGAAAACTCAGGAACAGACACACTGGTGTGTTGCAGACCTCTTTTATGAAAATTTCTTTCCTTAGGATTTTTCCTCCTGAGAAGCCAAGAGGCCTCAGGAACAAAATGTAAACAATCATTATCTGCTGCTATGGAATGCAACAGGTGCATCTGTGATTGGCCCATGTTGGATGTTTGTAATTAATGGCCAGTCACAGTCAGCTGGCTTGGACAGAGAGCCGAGTCACAAACCTTTGCTATCATTCTTTCCTATTCTATTCTTAGCCAGCCTTCTGATGAAATCCTTTCTTCTATTCTTTAAGTATAGTTTTAATGTAATATATATAATAAAATAATAAATCAGCCTTCTGAAACATGGAGTCAGATCCTCATCTCTTCCCTCATCCTAAGACCCCTGTGAACATGGTCACACTGTTGGGAGGGAGAGTAGAAACCCTAGAGGAAGACCCAAGACTTAAATTCATTTCATGGAAAGGAACTGAAGGTCATGGTGACTGGTGGGCCAGACTGATTCAACATGAAGAACTGAAATGATCAATTTTTAACAGAAAGAGTCTCAGAAGAGCATGTGGAGAAGATAATAAGCCCTGTTTTTTGTAACCATGCATATCCTCTGAGTGAGATGGACTTTGCTCCTGGTGGGAAAGCAGAGAAACTAGCCAAAGCCCAAAGATAACTCCAGAGCAGGGCACATTCCAGCAGAGCTGGGAAGCCAAGTGCACCAAACCTCTCAGAATTGCTGCCTTTGTCTTGTATTGAAGCTGCTGGAGCTGCCCTAGGCAGAGGAAAGTCAGTGGCTGCATGCAGCTGGTACACAAAAACACGTGACAAAG